TATATATATATATATATATATATATATATATATATATATATATATATACATATATAGCACTTCTTCCTCTTCACATCGACACTCATTTCCAAACATCAATTCTCTGGCACACAGATTGATTTCCAGTGTTTTGTCGAAGGCGTTCGAGGCACCCTTAAGGATGGAAGATCCATGTGAAACCTTTTCCACGGGTTTTAATCTTCAGGGCCCGGGGTATTTTGGCATCCAGTCACAAATCTGGTGCTGGGGCCTCAGCCTGCAGTCGGTCAGAAAACACTGCTACCATTCCAGAACCATGTATTTTCCAATTGGACAGCCAACACTGGATGAGACAGCTTCGTTCAGTCGCGGCGCAGTGGGAACATTTCTTCCTTGATGCCGTCCTTGGTGATCACCTGGATGGCCACGGAGTCGCCGGTGTAGATGTCCCGCTCGCAGGCCGACGTGAACACGTCTTTGATGATGCTCACCGTCTTCGGTATGGTGAGGGCCTCGGGCGTCACGTTCTCCTGGTTCTTGTAGTTGATCTGGTTGTCCAGAAGCGGTTGGATAAGGGCCCCTGCCGAAATAAGCTTTGTGATGCAACCACAAGGGCACACGGCGTATCATCGGACCTGGTGAGTTTAAAGGGAAAGTGATTATCCTGGTCATTCTAATGTAGAAACAAAAAAAATGACACATGACATAAAAACAATTCATGTCCAGTAACAACCCTAAAGATACCTCCGATTGTCTGATGAGTTGGAAATGTGACCTTGTATAAAATAACTGACTCACATGATAAATTAACCCACCAAGTTAAGCCAGATGAGGCATTATGTCAAACAATACAATACCAGAGGAAACTTTAAATTGCCAACTCTACGAGCACATGCAGATTGGCAAGGACTAACACTGGCAACCGCCCTCTTGGCCAGCCCCGGCATCAAAATAATATTGCTTTCAGAATGTGTTCCACTAATCACCAGACATTTCATGAAAATTCAGTTAACTACCTGGAAAGGTTAAGAAATCACTCCATAAACAGAGAGGGTAGAGTAGGATTTCAAGTCCAAGTTAAAAGGACACCTAATGTTCGCAAAATATGAACCCATCTAAAGTATGTAATGAGAGATCATCTGTAAAACCAGTCAGCCACAACCAGGGTCACATATGTGGAAGGTACAAGAGAATTAGTAATATAAACATATTAGTGTGAAGAATCCAGCACTGACCTCCAGATCCTCCAGTGTAACATTTGCCTGGGTCGTGATGCCCAACTGGGTCATAGTGATACACTATGCCCTTTCCATTTTCATCAAGACCAGCAAGCACATTGGACACATAGTACGGGAAAAACCTCTTGTGGTAGAGCATGGTGGACAGCATCTGAGCAACAGCCCCAGTGGACATTGGCTTGTTGTGCTCATGCTTGTACATCTGCATTCTTGCCTCCAGAACCTTAGTCATTGTGAGCACATCACACCAGCAGCCAGTACTCTTCCCAGAATGGTGCTGTCAGAGAGCTTGAAGGTCTTCTTCTGCTCCCTGGTGTAAATACTGTACCCAGAGCTCAGACGGGTGTCTGATGCCACCACCACAAAGTCATCTCCAGCGATGGCTACTACTGTTCCGCCATTGTCAGCATATGGATAGAAATGGTGCTGTTTTGCTCCACCAGCAGCATCCAAAGCTGCAGGCTGCATTGTCCTTAGAGACATACCTTGCTTGGCTTGGCTGCTTTAAATATCTGGAACAGAATTGGTTAATATGATCATTGTTTACAATCAATGTAACAATGTTTTCAGTACCCTAAGCATCCTTGATACCATTATAGATCATAGAAACAATCATATTTTAATGCAATGAAATAAAGGCAAAATTTTGATCCAAACTTTTGCCTTTGTCCTGCAGATCCTAGTCAATGATTGATATCTGACAATGAAAGCAAGTAACTTTGACAACTTGAAGGCACATTTTGCCATTGAGAATCCTCCCAAAACGGACGCTGGTGGCATCTCATTGAAAACAGATTACAAACAATTAATTCAGCACTTAACTGCACACGTAATTTTACCGCCCACTAAATATGGCATTAATGCATGAAAAATAATCAGATTGTAGTGTGTGCATATGTGTATTGAGCTTGATGTGCAATACTGTTAATAAATACAATTTCAAAGAATTAAGGTACAACTGGAACATAAAACTGCAGTGCACTTCAATTTTTGACTAGTCACAAATCCCTAAAAAACTGGTATTTCAAACAAAAAATATGGCTACCATTTCTAAGTTCTTTAGCTTCAAAAGGTGCAAAAGCACACATTTAATTTTTCCAAAAGCACATCCATCACAGCTGCAAGTTTCTAAGCGCAAACATGTTTATCTTGCTAAGACCAGACACATCTGCTTAGCAGTGCATGTTGTCCACTAGATATTGCTTTCTTGGAATTTCAGTAAGTTCTCTGCTGACTTGTGATAGAAGAAATTGGGGCAAACATATTTTACGCAACTGTGTGTTGAGGGAGAGAAGCAGTGCAGCCAACTCAAAATCTAAACCTTATCTACACACACCATTTTTGCAGTAGTGTGACCACCTTTGTATCCACTTTCTTATTCCAGTGGCCTCTCCTACCATGGCCAGCAGTGACCAACTCCAGCCTATATAAGTGTATATGTGTAGTCAGTGGAGTCAAATCCACCCCAACTTTGGTGTGATAGTAACCACACCAAACTTTGAGCACAAATATTTTGAACTCAATCTTGGCTTAGCCATATGATATCATGGGGGCATTTCAACATTCAGCTGTTGAGGCTTTAGGGTGTTGCCTGCTTCTCACCCTGGCAGGAAGGAGCAGGCACTGTGGTAAATTAAACAGTGTACCTCTGGTTTCACAGATACATGGTTCAACCACCATAGACTACACTGGCACTCTCTCCATTTAGGCTGTCTGAGATTCACTGATTCAAAGATAGAAAATGGGCACTGTGATATCCATAGCATAAGTGTGTAGAGCATAATACATTGCACAAAGATTCAAATGTGGATGTAGGTATGCCAAAAACAGGTGTACCTAACTTTCAAAATGCTTTGTCACTGGAGCATACCTACGTGGCCACCACACACCCGATTCAAACCTTCCTAACTCATTTACCAAATGACTTTAAGCAACCCTCAGCGGCCCTTCATGTTTACCTATTTCACTGCATCGTTATTTTAGGGTCTTACCTGCACCAATGAACCCCAAAATCCAGGAAAACACACTCTCAGAGGGCCTTGCGCACTCACACAACCATCCGGATCGACCATATACCAGTTTCGCCTCTCACATTCTCATTTGTCGACGAGTGACCCGGCGAAAAGCGGGGTATAGAATGGTAGCCCGTATCCCGTATAGCGGAATATGCTGAAAATCTCGAGAAGTCAGAGAATATTCGTTTGCTGTAGCGAGAACGACTCTTAGTGGGCGGCGGCCGGCAAGGGTAGTACGCAGCCGGGACCAGGGTTGGGGCTACCCGGTCACCCGCGAGACGCCGGTCCCATGGGTAACGCAACATGTGGCCGTCCCTACGCACCCAAATTGATGACAATCCTAGTGAAAGAGTGGTGATTTTCTTGCTACGCGCCTGGTAGACAATCGTAATATTATGAAAATGGAATCATCGCGCTCAGCCGTGCCTCGCCTCGGGCACGGCCGCCAGCTCGGTCGGTTCAGCGAACGGGAAACGGCTGTTACCACGAATGTACGACCCTGTAGATGTGTTGTAGTATTGGTAACCGCATTTAGAGGCGACATACGTTTATTATATGTCTCAAAAGGCATTTCCCTCATGCGGTTTCATGGAACGCTGGCAGCCGTTCAGCGTATGGAGCGCATGACATACAGCGTACGGGAATGCGGCAATACAATACTCCCTCAAAGAGTGAGGCCGTGCGTGCGTGATAACAACGCACCTGGACTATCTCACGACATCCAAAAATCGGGCCCGCCTGCTGGCACTTAGTTTTGCCTGATATGACTCCCGCATATATTCATAAATAGTGGGTGGCCCCTGAACGTGATGAGTAAAATACGGTGACGTTATGCACCTATTTGAAGGCTAACTCGGCGGATGGGACCGTCCACATATGAAAGCGCAGCGTCAGGACTATCGCACGACATCGGTGTATCGAGGCTGGAGGCTCATTTATGAAGCTGCCGAAAATTACCGTGCCTGTTTATTACAGGCGGTTGCCTGTTGCAACAGTCCTGGTATGTCTCCCTCCTGACGTGTTATTCAAATTTCCTGGTCCGGAAGTGGTGCACGAATTACGCTTGCGTTTTAAAAATGCTTGAAATACTCAAATTGTCAACAACAATAGGCGACGGCGGCTGGACAAACCATTTAGGTGTCCTGTGATGGTCAGGACCAGTGCCATCGACAGGCATGGTCCTCGTGTCCGACGCCGCTTGTAAGTCTCTATAACGCCATGCTTTTTGTGCACCACTTACAAAGCGACCGCCTGTTTTCAACGGTGCAGCATGAGGGGTTCACACGGAGCTAATAGGCGCCATCGGGGACGATGTTCGCGCATCGTGCGTAATCCGTGAAGGAGCGTGCTACGCGTACGTTTCTACCCCGCGCTTGCATGCCATATGCATATATGTAAATGCTTCCACATTTTTGGCCCCGCATGCCAAGCGGCAGTCGACATACACTATTATGTGAATGTTACATGTGACGGGGTCACATCAAGCAAACGGACTCCGGCAGTCGGGACCGACGTTTGGGATGTCACGCAATAACCATGAATCAGTTCTATTCAACACCCGCGGTTCCGCGAACCGAGCTGGATTAATGAACTTTTGGAACGCTGCGGTGACTCGCTCTCCCAGGGCGGACCGACCGCTGGTCTTCACGGGGGAATTTCTTATTTGCATGGGGCTTTGTACGGAAAAAAGCCATCTTGAAAATCATTCGGTGCCATTCACAACCCTGCCCTTCTTGGGACCTAAACCCCTCTAGTTTCTAAGCTACACACCCGCGAAGATGGGGACTTTTCGGGGAGAGTATTGCAAGGTCACATTGGCATTCATGACGCCATAATGACATCATTCAAATTCTGCCATTTCGTGAGCCATGCGGTGATCAAGGCCAATACAGATACAACAATAACATGCTGAGGAGCGTATTTACTTAGTAGAGAAATTGTGTCGTCTAGAGCAATCTTTCTACTTAAAAGTATACCAATGGACACAATGAGCTTGTTTCATCATATCCAATGCTTGCCTTAATATATTAAAATATGAAACATTCCCTTTAACAATGCATCGTGCGGGATCGATAGCAAACAAAAGCAGGCGCGAGGCCGACGTTTGGGTGTCGTACGAAAGCCGAGGACAAGTGTTATCAAATTATCCCGTCCCATTCTCCGTGCGTCATTGTACGTATGTGCGAAACTCTCTCGTATGTTGTACCCCACGCGTCACGCGTCCGCCCGCAATTAATCACACGCTGTGAAAGAGGCACGCCAAACAGATGTGGGAACACTCAGCCACTATTTACCGTTATTCTGAGTAAGCTCCGCCCGCCAACCGGTCATACTGAACTAGCGATCCGATGCAAATCGTTCAGCGTTCACCGTGGATCAGTTCGCCACTCTGTTCAGTAAATATTTAATTCAACGCAGCACTTATTAGTGAGGAAAGACAAGTATAACAGTAGAATGGCAAAGATCATCGCACACGCGCGCATTAAAAAACAGGGAGCACGATCCTCTTAATCGACTTTGGGGCGGTCTTGCGCGTGCCTACCAGCACCTCGCACCCGTGAGTCCAAAAGCCGTGTCTAAAAGGCTCAAAGCTACTGTCAGGATTTTTGCGGTGCCGGGGCACTCACAGCATTAATTCAGCTGATGAGAGGATCACCTGGAGTGTCGTTCCGACAAGGCCGCGGCACAGAGTGCCCCGATCCTCCGAATTCCCAACCTGAGGCCCGCTCGCAGGTGTGGGCGGGGCTACCACCCCACCGGCCGGCATACGCACTATCTCTCCGTGACAGCCGTGGATAGGAGGCCTCGGCCGCGGTGAAAAGGGTGAGCGATAGCGGGTCAGACTTCATAACTGGCTGCGCGTGCACGCTTATCCACTTTATGGAGGCAACCCATCGCAGCGCCGCTTCACCACGGTCGGCTCTCTATCAGCGGCCACAGAACTGGCGTCAACAATATCTATCGTAATTTCTTACCTTAAAGAAATAGGGGCCGGTTGCTAGGCCGTGGTTTGGGTGTTCTGCGACATGCCTCCATGAATGCTAGGAAACGTGCGTTGTCCCATCCGCACAGGTCAATGATATATATATATATATATATATATATATATATATATATATATATATATATATATATATATGCACATAATCGACTTCGGGAGGGAACCCTGCGCGTTTGATGGCACTGTTTTGTAGCCATCCCACGAAACCCAAGTATTGGGCCCGGCCGCCGACGGCTATTCGTGGCAACTCTGGCGGTCGCTCGACTTGTAGTACAATAAATGCTTAGAACCATAGCATAGATTATAGGCATTTAGTGTACACTGAGGGTGGGACCATGACAGCTTGGAAGAACTGCTTCAGGGCCATCGCACGACACTCCAGCATCGAGACTGACGACCGGGGCCCGCGTATTTGAAATCGCGCCCTCACGCTGAATGAATGAAAGTGGCCGGACGTTTGGAACGTGGTGCACAAATTGCTGAAACATTTTAAACATAGGTACAATCGCCAGAATAATGAAGTACCGCGCGCTGTCAATTTTGAGATCAGCCAAAAATCACGTTTGGGGCCCAAACATCGAGCCCGGACACGGGTGTCCACACGATTACTAAGAGCCCAGGGTGTCCAGAGGGCTCCTGGCTGGTCACAAGGGCCCAAGAGCAGACAGAGGGGTTCTAAGGCAGGCGAATGGCCCCTAAGCGGTGGAATAATCCCATCAGACCCCGTCCGCATCTGTCAGGTCTGATCTGGTATGGTCTTGGCCCGCCCAGTTCCGTCTGGTTTGGTCTGTCCCGTCTGTTCCCGTATCGAGTTGTGACATTCAGTCCAATTTCTTCCGGTCCGGTCCGCCTCCGATAGGCTCTATGTGGTCCCGTTTTTCATACCGGCCAGTCCCGTCTGATCCCGTCCGGTCACACCTGGTTTTGTCTGGTACCGCCTGGTTCAGTCAAATCCCATCTGTTCCTATCCTGTCTAGTTCCATCCTGTCCTGTGCGATCCTGTCCTGGTTCCAGCCCGTTCCGCCTGGTTTGGCCTGGCCCTATCCTATTAGACTCGGTCCAGTCCTGTCTGGTGCTTTCTAATCCCGTACAGTCACGTCCATTCTCATCCGCATCAATTTGACGCCGTCAGAATGATTCATTCTGTCTCTGTTCAGTTCCGTCTCATCCTGTCTGGTTCGGCACGAGGTGATCTATCATCAGGCCGGCAATGATTTTATAGTTTTGTGACGTCACGGTACTATCAGCTGAAAGTGTTTGTGACCTTTATTTTTGCATGATCAGCTGGACGCACCATCGCAGATCTGTGAATGGTAAGAAGTGGGCGTGCTGCGGGTTGTAGGTAAAACGCTATTTATTTTAAGTATATGGGATGTAGAGCTAAGTGGAGATACTAGACACATTCAGAAGTGTGTTCTGCATCTTAAATTGCCGTTATTGTATAAGTTTCAGGGTAGATTTAGTCGGTTTACACCGTTTTAGAAGGTGCCCGTAAAATTGCACGGATTAGAGAATATGAAATTAAAAAAGAGGGGACAAAAACTTGCCATCAGCCTGCTTGAAGCTGTTGCTAAATCCTCTTAAGAAATCATTTCAGACCTTAAGGAGTTTAGGTTGTTTTTGGCCCTTGACCAGACTGCAGAAATGCCTCAACAACCATTTCCGGCATGGCAGTGCCGTTACAGTAAAAATTGCAGTATGTACATCTTAAACCCAGGGCAATACAACACTGCTGAAAGCCAACTGCTTTTGTGTATGGCCAATGCCAATCTTAGCATGGAGAAAGGCAATGGTTAACAAATTATGTTGTTGGAAAGATAATCCCACCTAAGGAAACTTAAGAACTGAATGTTTATAATGAAAAATATTTAAAATACTTTGTACAAAAGACAATTCACAAATTTAATGGAATTTGACCTGCCTGAGCAAGGTACTTGCAAAAGTCAAGGCTCAGCACACAAGTTTCGTAGCTGGTGCAGTGGATTGATCTTTTCAGATTGGCCTCTTGTCACAGGCCCTCAGTCACCTGGACCAATCGTGATAATCAAAATCGGAGTTGAAGTTCTAAGTGAGATTAGAATGCTCCATATTTGGGTTATGGGGCTGGTCAATTTTGACTCAGATTTGGTGTTGGGAATGAAGCATACAAAACTAAATTTGAATGTGTTAAAATCTGAGCTGATTTATGGTGACTTTATTTATGGATGGTATGGATTTATTTATGGTATGATTTATGGTATGGACTTATTTGTGGGCATATTAATGCAGAAGATGAAAACTCAATCTGAGTCAGAATAGACACTTATGTCTGCATATTTCATCAAGTTTATCTGAAAGAAGCTATAATCTAAACCATGATCATGCTTGTAAGCTTTTGGTACATTCTTGGAATATGCCAAAACTTTTCAGTCACCATGGCAAATCATTAAAAGCAACATATGTTGGTAGATGTAGGTGCACATTAGGTGCAATAGAAAGCAAGACAAGCCTACCAGTCAACATCGCTTTTTAGCATTTGCATGAGAGAAGCTTTAAATTGTGACATGTGGTTGGTTTGTTTCATTGTTCTGGAAAATGGTTAAGGTACTTTGAGACTCCATAACAAAGCCTAGCATGACACTGATGGTAGTTTCACCTGGTTGAGTGTTGCTTAAGTAATGGATTTAATGGTTGGTGTGGTTTTTAAGATTTAAATCCTGCTGTTCCGGGCTTGTCTCCTCATTTTTATTATTTCAAAGTTCACAAATTCAGAGTTGAAATGATTGAGGATTAAAAGTCATTGAATACAGAGATATATGACAATCCAAGCTGTGGATGTGATCAATGTGTGTAATGCTGTCTTTTCATTGCAAATGACTTGCTTTGTCCCAACAAAGGCACAACATGTGCTTTGGCACTGGTGCCTCAAGCTCCCTCCACCAGCCTCATAATATTCTGCTCTTTGTCAAAGTAGCCTCCTGGTGATGCCAGTCCACCATGAGCAGCATACAGCTGGCCAACACAGGATCTCCACTCACACCCAAATTAGAGATATTTATTCCCAGGGGTCATATCACAACTGGCACTTGAACCCACCTCCAGATGAAAGCAAGTGCCATTGACCAGTGATGTGCCACACTCCTCCAGGATAGATGACACACAGACAGCCACTGCCACATGTGCTGACACAGTAGATGTGCAGGCTTGACCTTTCCCTGACCAGAGGGCTGCCATGTCATCCCAACATGGTTCGCTGTTGGGCAGTGCAGGCAGGCAGGCCCCTTGCTGATGCATTGTTGTAGGTAGGGAGTATTTGACAGACAGTGTGGGGTGAAATGAAAAAGAGGTGAGAATGAACTGCAATGGTCAAGTATCACAGGGACAGTGGTATCTCTGGTGAGCGAAGGAAAGTGGAGCTGGAGATGTCTTACCCCAACAGGACTGGCCACAGTGGTTGCAATCCCTCTGACACCAGCCTTAGGCAAATGCTGTGTTGCTTGGAGAGTGTATCATCAACCAGGAAATGCAATTATTCTAATCTAATCTGTTTTGTTTTGCAGATCTGTGCTCTTGATCTGAAGTCTGGCAATCTGGAAGTATGATCACCACTTAAATACTGATGGTCTATTTGTACTTCAGTGCCCATTAGGATGTGCTGTTATGTCATAGCCTATTTTTCAACAGTGTAAATATCAGTGCAATCATAGTTTTGTTCTTTGCCTTAAGCAAAACACTGCTGGGTGTGCCCAAAATGGCTATTATCAGGACCCATATGCTGGTGCTATGCTTCCTACTTCTGCAAGGCTCAAGTCATGGTGCTGAAGATGAGCTTCCTTCTTCAGAAATGTGAGTTGCCTGGAGAGGTACCTTATACCCATGTCTGTGTTGTTTTATATTCATTTGTGATTGCTTCACATTTAAGATTGAATGGGCCTGTCTCCTCTATCTATTTCTGCCTCTGTCTCTCTCTCTACCTCTGTCTCTGTGTCCCTGTCTTTGTCTCTGGTCTCTGCCTCTGCCTCTTTCTTTGTGTCTCTGACTCTGTTTCTGTCTCTGTCCCTGTCTGTATCTCTATCTCTGCCTCTGTCTCTGTATCTGTCTCTGTCTCTGTCTCTGTCTCTGTCTCTGTCTCTGTCTCTGCCCCTGCCCCTGCCCCTGCCCCTGCCTCTGCCCCTGCCCCTGCCCCTCTGCCCGCCCCACCTCTGCCTCTGCCCCTGTCTCTGCCCCTGTCTCTACCTCTTTGTGCCCAACTCTCAAGGAAAATGCTGTCCTTTGGGATATAGGGGAAAGATGCTGGACTCATAATTCAGCAGCACTGGGTACGAGTCCCAGAACAGGCACATTGTTTGGCCCAACTGAGATGGAAAGGTCAGCTGGCAACTGACCAACGAAGTCAACCCAGGCCCGAGGCGACCGTGTTACAGCATTGTTGCAGCACGTAAAATCCTTAACATTCCTGTCTGGTGAAAGGGCGGAAACGAAATTACCCACGGAATCGAACGGCGCGACTTAGGTGGAGGATTTAGGGCACACAGAGCTGTAAATGCCAGAAATGCTGAAATTGCCTGCTATGTTTAGCGGGTATTCTGCACCCAAAGCCACTCCATGTGAACCATTGGCAATGAATTTATATGGAAAAATCCAACCTGTTACCAGATTTTGGACATTTGGTTCCTAGGATTTGGGGAGAACCTTTGGCAAATTAGAGAATGTCACACCAGTTTTGAGTATGTAAATTTGTGTCTCGGTCCATAGCAGAGCAGCATCATCGAGCAAGCCAATGATGATCAGGTGTCCATTGCAGGAGGACCAGCAATGTACGTTACTGGTCCCTCTGCACCAGCCCTTCACCATCCAAGACAAACGTCATCCTGCCCTAGATTACAAATAGTGAGGTGTCAGACTGAATGCATGTGTTTGGTTTGTTGGAAACTGCACACAAGAATGCGAGCCTCATCGTTATCAGTAAGCACCTGACGTGTCTTACCGTTACTAAGCAACATTCAAAGGCATGAAATATGTGCGCAAAATCCCATCGACGCACGTATTGCTGCAGTGTCTGAGCTAAGCGAAAGCCAGCCGAGATATTCGCCCACAGTGCGTCCAGATCGCCCTGGATTCGTCAGACTGCAGCACAGGTCCTCACGGGCAACGTCCAATGCCGTCCCCAATCACGATCACAGGGCTCAAAAAGCGATCCCTTAAGACCCCCGCCAGAACGTCTGGTTCAGCGGCCAGCGAGGTTAAACCTTGAGCGAAGCACGCCGCGAGCGGCGTGACTTCCTGAGACCCCCCCCCCCCCCCTCCGTGGGACTGAGCCCAGCCCCCATTGCTGAATTGAGACTCCCACCCGATGCTCCACTGAGCTGCTTCAATTGTGTGTGCAAAGAGAAAATACGGGGCCAAATGGATATAGAACAAGATCTCGGCTATCTGTATGCTAGTTAGTGGATACCTGAACACGTCACTATCAGTAAAATGTTGAATTTGTACCAAGTAATATCCTGTAGGCACCTAATGTTTTTGGCATGCTCACTCCTTCATATGCTAAGCCAGTCTGCTAATGTTTGACAAGCTCTTTTCAAGCAATAATGCCTGGATTAGGATGAAGCATGATTACTTGTATTACGTGGCAGCGTTTAGAAGTCTTGGGTGCCCCAGATAAAAGTTAACACATGTTTTCCCCAACAGTGCCAGGTGTATTTCTGATCGTGTTACATGACTTTGGTCATGTAACACGATCAACGACAACGGTAGTCATCTGTGATATCTTACCACAATCTACTTAACATTTAATCTGTGAATTGCACTCCATTCTAAGCGTTTATTCTAAGTTTCACAAAACGCAAGCTCATTAACTTGAAATGGGAGGGCTATTCCTTTGCAGCAAAATAATTTTGGATCTGCAAAGCATTTTGTGTGTTTTCAATTGTTATTACCTTTTAGCAATTTGTATATTAACGTCGAGGACGCAAATTCAGGTGGCCGAAATCCGGGAGAAACCAGGTTTCAGGGGGCGGCTAGGTCAAGCTTTTCGTGTAAGCTCCGACCGATTTTAGAAAGTGATACCCCTGGCACCGTTGTCAGGCACACAGATATGGCGTCGTTGTCAGGTACACGGGCGGCGGCCTTTTGGCCGTATCTTTGCTCATATCCTTCGTAGCGTCTTCATATTCCCGTTCGCAAGCGGCCTTGTTATTCTAGGTACTTAAAGAACATGAGTTTCAGGGCCAGGTCCTGACGATTCTCGCTAAGTTCGCGGACAACTTCAGCACGTCAGCTTCAATAGCAGTGTTGAGAGTGGAGAATCTTGACGTTTCCGGGGGCAAGACCTGCGTTTGTTTTACTGACAGGAATTATCACCCTTCACTCCTTTGTCTTTTTGTATTTTTCAGTAAGCTTTCTCTTAACTGTAGCATTGCATAATTGGTTAAACATGTTCCACCGGAAGCCCGGATCATAAAGCCAGGGTGTGCGAATTTCTGCGTAAGTATTCTGCATAGGATATCTGCGCAGTGCGCACATATTCCATTGACTTGTCATAAATTTGCAATCCCCGACCTTGGACCACGTGGACTCAACTGCTAACCGGACCTAACCGATTAAAGGATGTGCTCCACATTTCTATGGGGTTTTGAACTGAAATGGCTGTCTTAAGGATCATTCGGTGCAGTTCACAGTCGTGCCCTTCTTAAGACCTAAAGCCCTCTAGTTTTTTTTTTAGCTACACGCCTGCGTAGATGGGAGGCTTTTTCCAGGAGAGCATTTCAGTGTCATTTTGACGTTCATGACCTCAAAATAATGTCATTCAGATCTTGCCATTCCATAAGCCATGCGGCGGTCAAGGCCAATACAAATATGACGGTCGACTCGTTCATATCTGGCTTTCGTGAGCAGATACTTCCAGGTACAGCGGTCCTCAATTTGCTCTCAATCAGTGTTGTGCAAGGTACGATGACATAATAAAATAATGACGTATCGAGGGGCATTTGTTGTAAACAGAGAAATTGTATTACCCGGAGCAGTCCTTGCTATTTAAAGTCACACCCGTATCTGGTGGTTGCCTCGGTATCTTCAAATGTGAAACATTCCATTTCGCATAACATATTCCAGATGTTGCCTGGTCTGATATCTAATACATCTTATTCCAGGATTAACCAATTGGCAAGGAGCCTGGGAACTGAACTTGGCGACGTCTTTATGACGTCAAGTAAATATGACGTTCTACAAACAGTAAGTAAAACACGATTGATCTAGCCTTATGGTATTCTTCAATGCATTCATACTTGGCACGACTTTTTGGGCTTGGAGACGTATGAAGCAAATACGCAGACTGCTTCATGTGTACTATTATATTTTCTCAAAAATAGATGTTTAAATGCTTAGTTATTTGTCAAGTTCAAGGGATTTGACGCACGAAGAATGTTCTCCAAAGGGTATTTCCTTTACAACTGGAAGCGAATTACGATCCGAAAGGCGTCTTGTTGATCTCCAGGAGAGTCCAACAGTGCGGATATTGTGTCATTTTCTGCAGGTTGTCTCGCCGGAGGTTTTTTTTTTACAATGCTGCCATATTTGAAAGCATCACTGAGTAACACTTGCTTCCTGTCAGGCCTATGCTAGTGCCACACCTTTGCAGAGCTGTTAGAGCATGAAGAGTGATCTTATGGAAACTGGAAAGATGCCATATAAACTCAGGATGACATTACGGTATTGGTAGATGTCCCTCAACGACTATTTCTGGGTGCACCCTTTCCTTTCAATCACTTGTAAGCGATGGTATTGATATCAGTGCCGATAAAAGAGCCGAAAGAGAAGGATCTCCTCGTTCATGCGGCATTCTTTTGGTTACCTGCTGATGTGTTCATACCGCAACTTCTACAGAAGTTTTAGTTTTGGTACCGCGCGTAAATTACGTCACGCTTTTTGTCCATTTTCAGACCTCATTTCCCTAAGTGCGCTGTTAGGGGTAACGTCCCCCAAAAGTGACGTCCTTTTGGCCCTTGATTGAGCTAGAGGACAAAAATAAGTAGTGGGTAAACTTTTATAATGAGATGAAGCCAGCGGTATCCGGCTTTAAGACTTCTAGTTGCTGTTACAGATTTAGCGAGACTTGCAACCACACCTTAGTATAACGTTACGCTGTCATAAACATACCTTTCCTCCCTTGTCACGCTCAAGTTATTCTCTATCAAGCCGTCTCTCATCCCTAAATGCGTCAGGTCACAGTGATGTGCAGATGCAAAAGTGTCGAGAACATTTTTCATATAGCGTCGCACTTTTCATGACGTTATTCATATTTTTCGATAACATTTGTGCCAGGCATTGGTAGTTTTTTATTCGCTGATGCTGTGGTATACACAAATCTGTGTAGGATATACTTCCCTCCATTTCTCTTCATGGGAATGCTACTCATCATAGAGTACAGAAAGTTCAAGGTAAGTCGTGACCGTGATCTTTCGCTTTTCCTCGTTCGCTCCCGGAGAACCAGTTTGAGGTAACATCGTTTACGCTTGATTGGCCGGAGACGGGCCACTCGGCCCGCGTGTGCGTGTCTGTCAAGCGCATGCTGTTGCTACAGAGCTACCGGGATGATCTGCTGTCCAGCGTGCGATTTGAAGAAGTCAATGCCGAAGCAGAGCTGGCCAGCATGGCGACGAAAATCACGGATATCTTCACGAAACGCTCCAGGGCGCTCAAGGTGAGTCTAAAGGGTTTTGTTTTCATGTTCGCAATTTAGAATGGGTCGGTGGCTGGATGGTTGGGTCGGTGGGTACGTGCCTGCGCGCGTTCGTGCCAGCGTGTTCATTGGCCTTGTCCCGTTGGTATCCAGCATTGAGCTGTCAGCGTGTGCAAAGATCAAACGTTTAAGCCATGACCGTCACTAATTCAGTGGACGGCCCATTTTCACATCATCGGCATTTTGTTTGTTGTTTGTTTTTTGCTGCCCAGCTGGTTTGAACATACGCGGCACAAAGGTGAATTAGCACGAGATTGAACAAAAAATTCGAGTGCCTTCGTGAAGGAAGCGTGTTTGGGAAACGAGCGCAAGTTGTGCGCGAAAAAAGTGGGAGGCGCCGAAGCTGCCGACGGGCCGCTGAGCTTCGAATGGCGGACAGCCGCCACCGGGCCTCCTGCATTGGTTAGCTGTCACTAGCGAGTGGCTGTAAACAACGAGGGATAAACAGGGCGAATGGCTAAGTGAGTCGGTCATCTCATGAGTCAATGTCGTCGGGTTTTTCCAAACAAGCAAATATGCGGTTTACTTTGGTCGCAGATAGTCATCAGACAGGAGTCTCGTGCACACGGACTTTGATGAGGTCTTGGGGTTGCCGAAAAAGGAACAACCAAGCACGAAAAGCTCCGTGTCTTCCGCGGGGTCCCCATGAGGGAGACTTGTGTAGTTGAAATGCTGTGTGTTACAGTGATGGGCATCGAGGGTGGGCATGCCAAGCGCGAACTGTAATGATGTTTGCTACCTATTCCGGAGACAGGCGGCTTAAAATTGGGTGGGTTAGTGGTTTCGAATCTCTCAAATAGGACGAGAGAAGGAACAGCGTTGGTTTTCTCACTTGATGATGCACGCAGGCCGTTCAAACCCTACAGTGCTTAGGACGAATGAGTTTTGGAACATACGAGACTATCACGAAAGATGGAGACTGGTGGCGTTGCGTGCTTGTACCAGTGCGTTGCCAGTTTAAACTAACTTGGGGTCGTGGGTTGTTCTGGGTTGTTTCCCCCGCAGTTATAGCTAATGGATGAGCCATCTTGTGTAAGCCGTCCACGACCCACGCCCAGAAGACTTGTATGGAGAGTCCGAAGACGTGTGCCTAATACCAGTCCAGTAATATAGTGTTGAAAGGACCCTAGACCGGTCCTTTCAAAGGTCTTATGTTCGAGTGAACATACGTTTCATTTACATGCTGACCGTGAAAGGTGCTGTATTTCTGGCGGCGATTTACCCAGTAGTTAGAGTATTACTAGAGTGAGTGAAAAATGCGTCTCGAAAACGGCTGGGCAGAACAAGTGTTGTTTCAGGATTAGCACGTTGACGTGAGGTGAAGAGGGAGGTGTCGCCTGCGTCAAGTAGGATGTTTCAGATTTTGCCAGCCAAGCCTGTTAGGGAGGCGAGGGCCAATAAAGGTTCAACTACCTAGTCTTTTAGAGTATCCCGCTGAAGCAGTTCCGAGTTCTGAAAGAAGGGCTCCTGCCCTACCAATTGTATTTTGACCAGAAAGGTATTATTTCAGCCAAGTGGGACGAAAACATGTTCCGCCGCATTGAATCCTTGTATTTCAAGGGGAGGGCTCGTTGCCGGATTCTGTTTTCATAGAATTGTGAAATATCAAGGAACACTGCTGTGCAATTTTTCGTCTTTTTCTAGGGCTGGATGGAGGTGGGTGCTGGGTTAGATAGTCTGATGGAATCGGAGATCTGTTGCCGGACCGGTTACCACTTTGTTTTTGCTTCTTAGACAGTTTTAACACGCGCCCGGGTGGCCGGCTAGATATCCTTCGCTCGGGTGGGGGGTCAATTTGACCCCCCACCCACCCGATCTCAGGGTCAATTTGACCCTGAGATCTCGGGAACTAAGAGAGCTAGAGACACCAAATTTGCAGGGTGCCTTGACCTGTACGTGAACTCACTTAGGTCAAAGTTTGAGCTTCCTAGGTCATGACCTTCAGGTTAGATAAGGTCAGACAAGGTAAAATTATGGGTTGGTCACGAAAGTGCCCCCAGAACCTGGGAAAATGTTTCTAAGCAAAATGTCAAAAGCCCATTTGATGCCAGTGACCTTGTTTGACCTTTTGAAGGTCATGGTGACCAAAATAATACAAGACTGCTGTGAGTTTTGCATTTGAATATGCGACAAAGATTACGCTAGGCAGTATGTTCATAAAACAAAATGTCGACCCGAGTCATCTTAGGTCAATGACCCTTTTTGGTCTCTAAGAAGCCAATGGAAGATGTATAATGCGGTTCCTGCTGTCAATAAATTCGAAATGAGCACCACAGGCTATCCCATACAGCAAGCCTTAGAGTAACAAATCAGGTTGGTTGTGACCTCGATCTGACCTTTATACCTGGCCTTAGGTCAACGTAATTTACTTATTCAATATTGATAGTGCCTAAGAAAGCATATCAGAGATGTATGGCTTCGTCAAGCACTCCGTTATCGTATCAGATTGGACAATTCCCCAGAAATTGCCTTCGCTAAAACCATGGCTTGACTGACCTGCCATAGGTCAGCGACCTTACAAGGTAAATGTAAATTTTTATGTTAAACGACCTGGTATTCAATTGTCTACAGCTATCCAAAATTTGGCGCGGCTACGCCTCGCCGTTCGGAAACCATTCTGGAAACACCTTCGGGGGGTGGGGGCAATTTGAACCGAACGCGTGTTAAGATTGATGAGGTGAGAGTAAATTTTGTGGAAAAGCATTCCCGCAGTGGTTATAGACAAACATGAAAAGTGAGTTTGGTGGGAAAAGCTTTCTCGCAGGGGTTTCAGGCGGACGTGAAAGAAAATCATTTACAGTATTTTCGGCGTGGTTTGTTGTATTACTGAATCAAATACCCAAGAAGGTGAAGCATTGCTTTTAAGACTCGAGTTGTTCCAACTGTGAGAGCCACCCAATATGTTGTACGTAATATTTGTTTGTATGCTTCCCAATGTCTTGTAATTGGTGACTGCCGCATCATTGTCATGCTTCAGAACCTGCGTGACGGTATGCCATTAACCGACGATGGCTTAATCCGCCTGGCCAGTTCTGTTGTGCGACACACTAGGTGACCTCTTGTCCGAGTCGGTTTTGTTGTGCCACATATCAGGGATCCTCCGCCCGGCCGGTTTTGTCGTGTCACATGTTTGGAAACCTCTGCTTGTCCGGTTTTGTTACGCCCATGTCAGGGGACGTCTCCTCCTGGTCAGGTTTGCTGTACCACATGTCACGGACGTCGTCTCCTGGTCAGTTTTGTTGTACCACATGTCACGGACGTCTCCTCCTGGTCAGTTTGCTGCACCACATGTCACGGACGTCGTCTCCTGGTCAGTTTTGCTGTACCACATGTCACGGACGTCGTCTCCTGGTCAGTTTTGTTGTACCACATGTCACGGACGTCTCCTCCTGGTCAGTTTTGCTGTACCACATGTCACGGACGTCGTCTCCCGGTCAGTTTTGTTGTACCACATGTCACGGACGTCGTCTCCTGGTCAGTTTTGTTGTACCACATGTCACGGACGTCGTCTCCTGGTCAGTTTTGTTGTACCACGTATCAGAGGATGTCTCCTTGTGGTCATTTTTGTTGCGTCACATAGGGGACGTCTCCTTGTCCAGTTTTGTTGCGTCACATCTCGGGGACGTCTCCTGGCAGGACATCGTCACCACGGCCGAGGACCAGACGTTCATCTACGAGTACGACCCGAACCTGCAAACGGGCGACGTGGCGCTCTTCAAGATGGCCAAGTACAACGAATCAAGTCCGGACCTGGAGCTCGACGAGCACTTTGGCCGCGAGGTGAACTTCAGCCAGTCGGGCGTGCACACGCCACTCGAGGTCTACGAGGGATGTGAGTGCCGCCTGCTCGCGCTCGCTTGGGCCCGCGCTCGCTCGCCCGCCGCGTCTCACGCTCTGTCGCCATGACTTCGCGTCCGCCTGCAGCGCCGCCGCCGCCGCCGCCGCCGCCGCTGCCAACCTGGCCCGCAACTAACGCCTCCGTTCCGTCCCAGGGTTTTTTGCCAAGTACAAGGGCCAGCTTACATTCATGGATGGTATGTGTGCATGCGGCCCGCGCGCTGATGCAGTCAGGCCGCGCGCGCGGTACACGTTGACCCGCTTCGCGGCCGGCCGGCGCCGCCGCCCCGGCCGGCTGCCGCTGCCCTCCTGTATAGACCGCATCGCCTGACTCGGCCGGCCGAGGGGACCCTTCACCTCGCCGCGCGTGCACCTCGTGTGTAGTTGGTAGGTCCCGCTCGTGGTAGCGTCGCGCCCTGCAGCTTGACGCCGTAGCGTATGGGTGGTGCGTGCGCACGGAGGTGCGGTCGTGGCTAGGAACTGGCCGTTGGTGGGCTGCGGTGTTTTGGGGGCGGCGATTGCGGAGCTGCCTGACGGGCTCGATATTGACGCTGTCTTCGGGCGGGCGGTCGGGTCGTGCAAGGGCACTGTCACGCGCCCTGTGCACCGTTCATAGTATCATTCGAACTGCCGGCACTCCGGCCCAACACAGTTGCACACACTCGAGATCAAGCCAGCGGCCAGCTCGATCGGTGGGCGGAGGGCGCCGTCGCCAGCCAGGGGGAGCGAATAAGCGCGGCTTCTGATTCGATCTTACCTGTCGGCCTCAGATGCGGTGTATTGCTGGACTTTGCCATACCGTATGTGGCGTGGCCGGTGATGGCCGGCGGTTAGAGCGCCGGCCTCGACACGCGGCAGGCGGCAGGCTCGTGTGGCTGGATGCGTGGTAGCGAGGCGGGCTCGGTGCTCCACCGGGCGCGTCGCATCCTCTCGATAAGGAGGGGAACACGCGCCAGCATTAGGCAGAGTCGGTACCGTGCGGGGTGCTTCACGAACTACCATCTCCATCTCTACCTGGCGAACATCCTTCAGCAGAATAGTTGGACGGACATGCTTGAATGGCGGGCTCAGTCTCCACGGGACGAGCCGTGGGTTCCTCCAACGGGGTCCCTCCAACGGGGTCCCTCCAACGGGGTCCCTCCAGCGGGGTCCCTCCAACGAGGTCCCTCCAGCGGGCAGCTGGGCCTCTCCAGGGCGCCGGTCCCAGCACCACTCGAGCAAATCATTCATAACACCGAATGCAAACAGTGACAACCGTGTTAAGTGTGTATTCCTGGCAGTGCTGTTACCCCAGTGCCGTGCATTTTGCCGTGCTTGTTCCGTATGCGCTTGACATTGCATGACAGGATCCTCCGCCTTGGTGTCGCCGCGCTCTAGCTTCATGGGTTACGGAGGCGGGCTTTCCAGGCGGTTTGGCGTGGGAACGCGCCTGCGCTCCGCGGCGCTGATCGCCAGCGTCGGCCAGGTGGTGCCGACATTCAAGGGTGTCGTCGGCCGCGCAACCCCCCCCCCCCCGGCGTCAGCTAGCTTTGCCACATTCCATAACGTGGTGGTGGTGTATCAGTCATGCATCGCATAGGCTTGGCAGTGTAGCTGAATGCGGAAACGAAGTTTGTTAACTCGCATTGATAGGGGAGAGGCTCCACCTCCCGTGACTTTTTTAAGCATCAGCTGTAGAATGGTTTGGGCTATTCTTCCGGCACTCTGTGTATATTTTCTGGCTGTATTTCAAAGCTACCGTGCAATAGTTTATAACGGGGCCGCGACATAGATATGTCTTAGCTCAACCATTTCGGATCTTTAGGTGGTTGGACATGTCATTTATTTCGATTGGGTTCTTAATTGGTTGCGATTTCGTCTGGGTAACAGGTTACATCCCGATCTGCAAATGTCAGTCTGTCATCTTAGGTCACTAACCTACGCTCGTCCAGCGTTGGGCAATATGCCGTTGTCGCGTAATTTGTCAACTGTTTATTGTTAACTTGACAACATCGGTCTTTACGGGCCGGTGACATTTACGACTGAGTGCTGTCATGCATCCCTTGCTAAGCAAACTCTCACCTCATTGCGATGCCAGCAAATTTGTCCGTTTACACTCTTCTTCAGACTTCTTATTGTCACTCGCTCATCTGCAGGCGGCAGTTTGGCACGAAAGTTCATGGTAGGTCACCGCTAGATTCAACGTAAAGTGCAAATGGCTCTGTAACTTATCGACCTATGCGAAACGCCAGCAGAAGGTGTAACCGTATTCTGCGAAGCATAATTGGATTAACACAATATTGTGGATTGCGTAATTGTTAAGTTGATGACAGATTAAAGCGGCAAGTGATTTATAGATTAAATTTATGCAAGTAAGAAAAATAAGTCTAAGGTGCCCCTGACAACGTCCTGAAACAAATGACTTACCTGATTAGAGGCTATTTAGGATTGCAGAAACTAGGTAACGCCATTCCATTTGTCTCTTTACCTTTGCCAGTGGCGTAGCCGAGATTTGGTCGACGGGGCCAGGTCGGGACTTAGGGTACCCTGTCAGTCAAAGGGTACCATTTCATTGTCACAAAGGCCCTGCCTTTGATTTGTGGGACTTTCGCGGGCACGCGATTCCATTGCGAAGCCTCAGCGGCCCTTTTTATGTCATAGCCCTATATACGTCATAAAATGGCGAAAACGACTGGGTTCTCGGCCCCAGGGTCTCCCCGGCTGCCTCCAGGACCGGGGGAAATATGGCCCCAAACTCCCCCTTGGCTTCACATCAGATCTCTACTCTGTCCGCTCCCCTCGAGGCAGTGTGGTGGTAGTTATCTGGCTCCGCCCCGTCCTCCCTCCCCCCCCCCCCCCTCCCCGCTTTGGCAGCGGGCAGGCTACTCCTACAGCCGGGGCTCGAATCTGGGAATAGACGGCCGTTTCAGAGAATGACTGTTATCAGAGCGGGCAGTCACAAGGCGGGCTCTGATTCCGGCTTCGGCGACTCTCCGCCTGTAGTGCACCACGGTAGAGAGCTTCCACGGGCATCGTTGAAGACATGAAACTCCATGGGCTCTGCCCTGGCCTTCCGACCAAACATCTAGCGTGGAACCTTCGCGTTCTCAAATTGCCTCAGGCTGTGAATCCATTCCCCGAGTTGCTCACGAACTTCGTAGCCAAATCCGTCATTCCGCTTCTTTTCACAACTGTTAAAGACTGATTTAGGCTCGGAGCATGGAGTCTGAGAGGCCAGTTGGGCCTTACACAAACCAGATAACGCATAGGTTTCCCCGCTTGCTGCTCGCGGCTTCAAGTCAGACAGTTCCTTCTCCCGCAGCTCCTGAGTCATTCATCTCAAAACGAGAGCTGAGAAAGGCGTCCAGGGATTTAGCCCAAACCCAGCACGTCTTAGTGCTTCGGTAATATTCTCCATGAGTGGCAAAGCTTTCTTCTGGGCCGCTCATTAAAAGTTCGTCCCGCCTATTTTTGGCGGATTGCCATTGTAATGGCGTCATCAGCCAACGCGTCCCCATTGATCGCCCTCTTCACCCTCGGCGCTGTTTCGCATTCCTCTGCTGTGCGACGGAAACAGCATTCGGCGTTACCGGGTGTGCAGGTGGCAAGGGGTGATATAACAGCGGCCGTACGCGTCACACGAACCGACACAAACGTCGGCATCGGCAGACCTCTGCTGCCGACCCAGATCTGGCTCAACGTTGCGACGGCGACTGGGGTCACCGCCGATCTTTTTCTCTTGCCGGCAGCGCAGTATGCCGACAATGGAGCTCGTCAAATCTGGATCCTGCGCACGCAAATACTTCAGGCTTTTGCCTCCGTCTTTGGTTGCCTCGTCTGAAGTGAGCCTGCCCTCTCGGACTTTTGTCGGGTTTTGTGCTGCCAGCAGCGACAAGAACCAAGCTTCGCCGTGCTTTTCAGAGGCTTTGTGTGCGCCTTGGGCTTGGCGGATAGGCGATCATAGACTCGGCCCAAGCTGATCTGCGCCCAGTTTAAGTTGCTTACGCTGCATTTTGCGCTATTTTTGTTGACGAGTAAGATTGCTGATTGTCTGATTGACGCCAGGGTCGTTACGGCCAACTTTTTCATTCGGTTTCATCGAGCCATCATTTCATAGAGAATCCCCCAAAGCAGCCTGACGAAGGGCGCCAAAATGCTGCGATTGTTAACGCCGCAGACCTCCGCGCGGGAGCGCCGGATCGATTTACGGCTGAGTCGGTTGCCTCGACGCTAATGTCACCGCTCAAAGATAGCGTCGCCACCCACTCACGGAAGCGCGTCGCGGGCACCGCAGAGTGGCGCTTGTGTGGGCGTGGCCGCCGCCAGGGCTGGCAGCACCGCTGGGCTCCGGTCCAGCGGGCGGTCGGCGTCGTCGCCTCTGTATTGACCGTCGCTCGGCCGCTTGCCAGTGATCGTGTTTGGCTTGGCCGCCGCCGCCCCCGCCCTGTCCCTGCCGTGGTCCACCGTCGCGCGCCGATGCGCGTGTCCCGCAGCCTCGTGGTGTGCCGCCCCCCCCCCCCTCTCCCAGCGCCCTTCATCCCGCTCTTGCTGCGTTCTGACGTGGCGCGCGGCCGGCAGTAGCTGCCTCTGTGGTAACGGCGTGTGCCGCCCCTGTAGTCTGCTCCGCAAGCACTCCCCGTGTCACCCAGACTGCGCGTACGGAGCACGGTCCGTAGCTAGCTGATGGTGTCTGCACCCGCCGCATCGCTGTAGCTTGAGAGGCGGACGGGCCGTCGTCAGGCCCGGCCCCGTCTCGGCCTGGTCTTCGGCTCTAGTTAGCGTGAGGAGAGCACACTCCAGCAGCGGTATCGATCGGCGCGCCACGTTTAACGCCCACTTTTGTCGTGCCCGGGCTGTAGTGGCCCGCCTGCAGAAGTCACGACACATTGTTGGCACGCGAGGAGCGAAGTCTGACTCGCTCCGTGTTTCGATGCCAGAGCACAATATGCTCGAAGGAATGCTGGACTCGTTTAAATCGATACGAGATAGCTGATGGAATAATTCGTCGGACCTTTGTCCGGGTCAAGGCTCTGTTTTTTGTTTAACATTTCGGGTGGCGGTTCCGCCGTCGCCCGCCGTTGGTTCTCAAAAGGATGAGATCCTCGGCGTAAAGCTCTATATCATGTACAACAGCCCCAAGTGTTTCTGGTAGTCTCGAACTTGCCAAAAGCTGTCAAGTTTGCGCTACGCCCTAAAACCCCAAATCATCATCATCATACTACATGGCTACACGCCGAGCATCTGGTACTTAGGGGCCAACTAACATCCGGCGACGTCCGAAACCGGCCGACACAGCGTCACGATAGCCACGTGACGAGAACAAAGTCCAAACGGCTACTTTACCTGTGCCAATGCTCGTCTGAAATATTTCGTAAAACGGGAGCAGGCACTCTGAATAAAGAAACTGTCTGCCCGCCGCGATGTTTCGTGCCCGAACATGCCACTGGCCGCCAGCGCCCGGCCCTGGGATACACCGGCTGAGCTCACCAGCCGCGGTCCGCCTGAGCTGCGAGCTGCCGGCCAGCGCCCCCACCCCGCGCGAGGCGGCCGGACCACCTCCGCGGCGTCTGTCGGCGATGTGTGCCCGCGCGCCCTGCACCGCGCGCCTCGCGCCCCCAATCACCGACACGTTACCCCCGGCGCGCAGATCGGGACGTGCTGAACGGGCTGCGCTGGTCGGCGGCCGTGGACCGCACGTTCCGTGCCAACCGCGACCGCGACCCGACCATCAGCTGGCAGTACCTGGGCAGTCAGCTGGGCTTCATGCGCGTGTACCCGGCCACCTGGTGGCAGCCGCCGCCGGCGCTCGACGGCGTCGACCTGTACGACGTGCGCCGCCGGCCCTGGTACATCGAGGGCTCCGTCTCGCCCAAGGATGTCGTCATCCTCATGGACATGTGAGTGGAGAAGGTGGAGGCCGCGGCGGCTTACGCTGTGGTCCTGTGGGAGACGCAGGATTTCTGCGGCGTCAGCACGTCGGCGTCCGATGAAGCTGAGCTGATTTGAGCTGTCTGAGAGGTCAGGCCATACATGAACTCGCTGCTTGTTTACATGGCGTGTTGCCTATGAGTATCGCCCGGCGTGTTATGTGTTTACTGCGCGGCAAGGTGGCAACGAAATCCAGCAGTCTTACGTCATATGGTCTTGTTGCATGCAACAATGCTGCGTGACCGGTATGCGATGCTGATATCATCGATCCCAACCCAGATGAGTGGTTGGTCGAGCGTTACAGTGTCTGTGTACCCCAACAGCTCGGGAAGCGTGCACGGCCAGACGTTTGAGATCATGAAGATCTCGGTGAAGACGGTGCTCAACACGCTGGGCGAGAACGACTACGTCAACATCGCCTGGGTCAGTTTTCTGACGTGGACGGGTCCCATTCCTGGCTGATTTTCTGCCACTGCCACCCCCGCCCACTCCACCCTCAGCCAAGGACACACAGCTAAGCTCCTCATTGTTAAAAAAAAAAACAGAATTGGCCTTGAAATGGTTTTGTGTAGAATAGGAAGACACTTATAAGGCGTGAAGGTGACACGCATGTTCTGCTTTTTTGGCTCTGTTTTAACGTACCATGATGCTTTTGGTTAGCGTTCTCCACAGAATGAAGTTGGCTTCCCTGCTCGTTAGGAGGGAATTGTACCTAATTGACAGGTCAACAAGTTACCAAGTACAATCAGATTTGCGCGTGTCGTGCGAGGAGTAATCGTGCGAACAATGGGATCAGTGAGGCCGTCCGACGCGTATTTTGGACTCATCTGCGGGCCGCGCCCAGATACCAAGTGTGAATGGTGCGGTAAGATCACGTCTTCGAATCGTGATTGTCCTTGCCCAACGCACCTCGTTTAGCCGTTGAAGGATGCTGGTTCAGTTGACTGACTGCTTCGGTTGTCTGACGGAGTGAGATGTCAGAGAGACTGAAATTTTTGAGAATGGCCGCTTCGATGGTCAGGAGGGGGGTGCGACGTACTTTTGATCAAGTAGCATTGGATATTTATCAAGTGGTTACAGTGTTGGGCCCAAGTAGGAGCGAGAGAGCGGGTGGCAACTGGCCGAGGAGGGCCTGCCGCGCTGGGTCGTAGCGCTGCAAAGTCACAGATATGATTAGCATCTCTTTGCTCTGTTCATATATTTGTCGGCATTGGAAATAGTTTTCTCGAATTTAAAATGAATGATAGGATGAATGAATGCAGCAGGAAAAAAATGATGCCCTTCAGCCGTTGTAATATAATTTACGGTCTAGTGGCGTGTTCACATAAGCCTCCTTTCAAAAATATCGTCACCACAATGTCAGAAACGTCAGGACATTGCGGCCATTGCTCATGCAGCCACTGATTCCAAGTCTCCGCACCGTCGCGTGCAACTAACGCACCTGACTCCAGTGCTATGTGTGAGGCCGTCCGGGAGACGGCGCTATCCAGGAGCGCCACCGCCAGGCGGCGCGCGGACCGGCGTGTTGTGACGGTACGACCGCCGGCAGTCGACCAACCACGCCGGCTGGGCCAACCCCTGCATGGACACGCTGGTGCCGGCCACCATGATCAACAAGCGCACCCTCTTCGCCGCCGTCGACGCCATGCAGGCCCGCAACACCTCCGACTGGGCCAAGGGCCTCGACTTCGCCTACAAGGCGTTCGTGGACGTGCGTACTGGGGACGCCGCGCGGGACGGGGCGCCGCATGCCTTGTTCGCGTTATGCCTTGCCCGCGTTATGCCTTGTTCGTCGGCGTGGTCGTTATAAACCAAAGCGGCTGGGCGGGGGGGGGGGAGGGGAGGGGCATCATGGGCTGGGCGTTTGTCAGTGGCTGCTGTATTTTGTATGCTTAGTAAAAGCCAGCTCAAGTAGACAGCACTAGTTGCTCTAAAAAATTGGGCTTTAAGCGGCGCCGCGCTTGGGGTGGACTGGTTGAACGGTTTCATTTTTTTAAAATAGATTCTTTCAGAGTCTTGACCAGTTCTAAGCCAAGCCAGTCCGGGTCTTCTTTCACGCGGCTCGCTAGTTTCAACCCGCTTCCATGTCATCTCAAGCCAGTGTTCGTTCAACGTAAGCTTCGTACCAAGATCACTAGATTTTTTTTTGAAGATGCCTCGTTAAGAAAAAGCATGCCTTTCCGAACTTGACAATTCTACTCCAATAGAACGGCACATCATTGGACAGCCTGTTAAACTACCTGCGTCTGAATAAGGACAAACGAAGGCATTCAACGCACTCCCATGAAGCATAACGTACTGTGCAGCTGCGGTCGCGTCGGCGGCAGTGCGGGGCCGAGACGGGCGTGTGACCCGCCTGCCCCCCCCCCCCGCGCAGTTCTACAGCCAGCAGCCGGAGCACGCGGGCGCCAAATGCCACAAGCTGATCATGTTCTTCAGCGACGGCGGCACCGAGTGGCCCGGTGCCGTCATCGACAAGTACAAGAACGAAACGCTCACCAAGGTGAGACCAGCGGCGCATCGCAACCGCGTGGCGCTGGCGCGGCCGGTGCGCACCGAGTCAGGCTGGCGGCTTCGGGTGTTGTCGGAGCTGTTGCGAAGCGCGGACGTATTGCGTTCTCCACGGCCTGCTCCCCTGCAATGTGTTGTGTGCGTGCGTGCACGTGTGCGTGTGCGTGTGCGTGTGCGTGTGCGTGCGTGTGCGTGTGCGTGTGCGTGCGTGGGCGCGTGCGTTTGCGTGTGGCGCGCTCTGCGTGCCAGCCGTGCGTGACATCGTCAGTTGTCAGCTCGCGTCGGCGCTCTCGGCGCGTGCCACACGGCCCGGCCGGGCCTCGGGCGCGTCTGCTGCGCGCGCGTGGCCCGGCACGTGAGCCCTGTGCGTGACCGGCGGGCCGCTGCCGGGCAGGACGTGCGGCTGTTTACCTACGCGCTCGGACCACACCCGGTGCCGTCGCACATCATGCGGCGCATGGCCTGCGAGAACGGCGGCTTCTTCTCCGTCATCGTGGCCAGCGGCGCCATCAGGACCGCCATCCAGGTGGGCAGGACCCGGCCGTGCCGGGTGTAGCGGCTCCAGTCTCAGCAGCTGTCTGCTGTTTCACGAGGTGTGACAGGGACGTGCACGCTGGGCTGTGTCGGGAGTGTACTAGTCGCGCAGAGCCAGTTACCGGGTGATATCTCTGTAGCGTTGGGCCGACTTCTGGATAAATTGGGAAATACGGCTCATGCATGGGAAACATTAAATAAACTGTCTGCCATCTAGCGGGAGTTTTTCGAAGCGTACCGCTTCGGAAACTGTTCGTGGAAAGCTTGCCAGATAAAGACATAACTAAGCATAATCCTGGGCAGTCACCTTACTGTAAGACTTGGCAATCATCGTTCAGACACCTACCGCCATGCCTGGGACACGGTCCGGAGCCGCATTGGCCTGCTGTGTGACCTGGAGCGACGTTCGATTCGTAACCCGGGTGTGCGCAAGTCATGATGGATCATTTTCTCTGGAGGCTCGCCACAAGCTTGTGGTGAATCGGTCCGGGTTTCAGTCCAGTCAAATGAAACCGCGGAGCCCAAGGGCATATCTTGAGGCGACACAATTCACGCATATTTCGACTGTTTTGATCCGCGTGCACACAAACCCACACTCCGCTTTCCGTGCGCCAACTGACAGTGTCCGAAGGTACCATGATGTGCCGCAGAGTTGCGTTTTACCGTCACGGCCGGCAGCATGGCGGCGCCGTATTCGTCCTATATTAAATTTAATTTTTGGACGCATCCACTGCAGCTACCGATCGTGTCGAAAGCGAGCGAAATCTCCGACAGGTGTTCGAAAAAAATACTGGTGTTGCCTGGCCTCGGAACTTTGGATGAGTACATGGCACGTTAGTAGCACTCGACGGAATACTATCGCGTATTGCTGGGGTGTGTTCCAGGTACTGTGCGAATTTACCGTGGAAATTTGTTTGCCGCCGAAATTTGCTGGCATTAAACCGGGTGAATGCAAGCACGTACAGATGCTGCCGCAGGAGGCGCAAAGGTTGAGACTCGTGACAATCGTTGGCTGACCAAGGATGTGCTTTTTTGACCAGCGCATATACTGACCTTTCTATTTGTTGGTGGGTCCATCATTTTTTGAAGAACACGTAATGGCCGATTTATCGGAGGCCAACGAGTTTGGGAGAAAGGGGTCCAAAAATCCACTCCCAAGGGCCAACACCTGATTCAAAGAGGGGCTCCTGCCATTGAAGTGACCTGTCAATTACTTCCTGGCGTTCACTAACCAAAGTGGGCACACCATCGACTCGAAGTGACCGATTTAAAGTGGCAGATATGTATGAGAGTTCAGGGTTAATTGTCTCGTAAGGCTAAGGAGTTCCCCAAAACTGGGTCCTGCTTCCGAGGTCATTTCCGTCCGCCGTATCGGTGTCCGACATTAAAAAAGCCCCCACCCAAGCCGAATCAAGCCCCCATCTGTTCGGCGCGAGCACTCCCGCCTGTGGGCTGTCGTTCGGGGCAGGCTAGAGCGCCGTAGTAGTGTAGTGTAAGCAGTGTAGTGTACATAGTGTAAGATTGTACTGTAGCTAGCCCGCTTGGCGGCCGGTGTCGTGCGGCGCGGCGCTCAGTGTCGGCCCGCCGTGTCCGTGTGCCGCAGGAGTCGTACCTGCCGGTGCTGGGCCAGCCGCTGGCGCTGTCCGGCTCGCGGCCGGCGGCCGAGACGCCGCCCTACCTGGACGCCGGGGTAAATAGAGCCGCCGGGCCGGCCCCGGGCCGCCCGCCGCCGCCCGTCGCTCACGTCCGAACCGCCGAGGTTCCAGAGAAGTGCCGATGGCGCCGAGACGTGACTGCGCGAGGGGTTGTTGAGCGTCCCCACCCAACGCCGTCTGATTTCAGGTGGTCATCGTGTCAGCGACGAGCCCCCCCCCTTGCCTTCCCCACCTCCCCCGCCCCCCGCCAGCCTCCACCGTCGGCGGTAAGTATACTGTCTCGTCTCGCTGGCGTCTCAGTTCTCCCGCCATCCCCTCTGGTACCATCCGACCTTAATCGGCACTTCCTCTCCCTGCCCCCATCTTTGATGTACTCATTTGGGGTCGTCCCGCCTCACCACCGCGTGTCTTTCACAATGGCATGGTGGTGCTTCACAGACGTATGCGCAAACACTAGGCGCGCTGGTGCCCCCCGAGTACCTGCACATGGGCAGCGTGCATTTCGCCCGGCGGGTGAGGGCTGTGTAGTCGCTGCCACATACTGCCGACACTGCGACAGTGGCGTCATGCCCCGTGTAGCAGTGTGCCGTAGTAGCCGCCAGAACTGGCACAGTGTGCTTGGTAGCCGAGTGGACGTTGTAGGTGGGCTGGACGTTCGTAAGTCGAAGAGCACTGCACCCAACGGCGGTACTCGTGAGGTTCGTGTCGATATGAGGAAACGCTCGGGCACGAGACACGATCGGTGCTCCCCTGGTGTTTGTGTTGCTATCAAGTGGGTATGTATAAAGGTCACACAGTCAAATTTCAAAGAGATGAACGAGCATTGCTGTGACATCTATAGTATTCCTGCATTCTGGATTGCACAGAACGTACCGATCAGGAGATATCGTGCGTCGATAAGTGGATGGCATACTGCTGACTTATAAATGCTGTACTCACATATCACTGAGGGCCATCTATCTTATACAGAGATGATACCCGTCCCAGCTGACTTTCTCTGACCTCAGCTCTGTCGTGAATCAGTGGCGCGTTCAAGGACCATGTGACCCGGAGGGGGGGGGGGGGGGGAGGCGCACGTCTGCCCGGTTAGCGGTGTCCGGTAGCCCTCCGCAGGTGGGACGCCACCAGCACCGCTTCGGCCGGCCGCAGCGCCGCCGGTAGGCCGTCCCGGCAGCCCGCCTGACCCCGCGCCTGCGCTTGTCCAGCTAGCGGCCGGTGTCTGTGTGCCGACGGGATGCGCCGCGGCTCGCCGCTGTGCACGGTAGACGAGGCCGAGCGTCTCCCGTAGCCCGCCGGTGCTGCGGCTGGCCGCTGTGCACGTTAGACGGGGCGGAGCGTCTCCCGTAGCCCGCCGGTGCTGCGGCTGGCCGCTGTGCACAGTAGACGGGGCGGAGCGTCTCCCGTAGCCCGCCGGTGCTGCGGCTCGCCGCTGTGCACGGTAGACGAGGCCAAGCGTCTCCCGTAGGCCGCCGGCGCTGTGCTGGCGAACGCTGTCAGTTTCTGAGTGGATGGTAGTTGTACGAGTAGTGGGCGTCCGTGCTGTCGTGGTGAGTCAAGTGGCGAACGTGTGTGCCGAGGCAGTTGGCACGATGGCGAACGTTTGTGTAGCTAGTGATGGGATGTAGTGGTAGTGCGGAAGTGTAGTGACGCGGCGATCTGTGCACAGTGTTTGCCGATATGTTGTTGCATTCATGTGCTAGCGATTACTTTGAATACCGGTACTGATTTTCACCACCGCGTTGAAAAGCCTTTTTTCACGAGACTTGTTCTTTTACTTTCCGGACAGTTATTGGCGATACATTACATAAACAGCTAAAACTTGAAATGGCCCATTAGCACGATGCCGCAGTCTAGTTAACCCGTCGCCAGTCGTCAGGCACTATTGTTTCGAATGCTCGATTCGTGTACTTCTAAATGCTGCCTGAGACCAAGCATCGATGCATATTTTCTTGTCGATCTGTCCGGCCGGATGCGGGTGTTCGGTTTGAAAGCTGTTGACCGGTGACCCCGCGTGTGCGCACGTATACCGGGCTGACCCGCGGCCGGTGCACGCTGAACTCTAACTCTGCTCCGTCGCCAGGGTCTGGGCTACGTGACCACCCTCTCCATGCCCGTGTTCAACCGGTCCGAGGCGTCGGTAAGTTGCGGCGGCGCCGCGACCGTCGTTCACAGTCTAAGCTGCGGTCGTGGGGCTGGGTTTGGGATTGTCATGACGCTGTCTTCTGAGTTGGAGTGATTCCTGTTCTCCTATGGCTGTCAGCCATTGGTGACGGACAGCACCGCTCCGGGGCCGCCGGGGCGCGCGCTGCGACGGCGTCGGCTCAGAGTTGCCGTGACGTATACTCAGAACCCCGTCCGATCATGTCTTCAAGGGAGCGTCCCACCTTTAGGGCATATTTCAAAAACATGCTCGGGTGAAACGTCGGGACTAGTTACGTTCAGTGATATTACTGCGCAGTACCACTGCAGCATCGTTAAGGTGTAATAATATTAGTGTTAGTCATTTTGGGGTCCAAATTATGTTGTCAGCTTTTTATTATACCCTTATTCCTTTCTTTAGCCTCAGGGTGTAGTCCTAGCCCACGACAACTGACAACGGCAGAATCTGGGGAGAGCCGTCGTTAGTAGCTACGCACTAGAGGAACCACTTTTGCGCTGTTTAAACCTGCGCACGGCGGGCCTACGTGCTTAAAAGTGGTACCTCCACTGAAATGAACGACGTCGGTACAAATGACCATTTGTGACTGGTACAGCGGGCGGCGGAGGCCATGCACCGAGAAACACATTGGGTGAAGTTCGAACCAGCGTGTCTCTGTGGAACATGTGAGGCGTCTGTTACCCAAAGCCAAAATTTGCTTCGAAAAAAGCCACAGCTTAACGCCATCCATCAGCTCAACGCCATAACGCCATCAGCTTAACGTCATAACACCATCAGCTTAACATCATAACACCATGAGTTTAACGTCACAACGCCATCAGCTTAACGCCATAACTTCATCAGCTTAACGTCATAACACCATCAGCTTAACGCCATTGGGGAGAAATCAAAGCTATAGTGTGACGATTCGTTGAATTCACGTGATAATGGCATCATATTTGTACATTTGTTTGCCTAAATAACGTTCCAGGCTTTCGTAGCTTTTTGCACAAGCCCTTTTACCAATCTGTGCTTTGGCCCTTTTACCAATCAGTGCTTTGCAAAAGTTACGGAACACACGTTGAAGAAAGCAAAGCAAATGACAAGTTTTTCCTTCGTAATGATGAGCAGGGAGTACAATGGGATTTCTGTCGCCGAAGCGGCTCCTTCAACATGAAAGTCGGAGTTGTTTAGAACGATGTCGAGAAAACTTGCAATGTCGACCAAGTCGGACGCGTCTCATCATCCAACAGCAAATAAAGCGTAAAAAGGTGACATCCTCCCTTTGTGTGCCGACTTTGATCACGACTTGGACAACGCGGATGGCTTAATGGCATGACGATGCCATAGGAACGTAACATGTAAGACGGACTGGTTGTCGTGTCCGTTGTGTCCGTGCTGTACTGCGGTCGGAGCGCAGCAGAGCGCCGGATGAGGGGGAGGGGGAGGGGCTGTCAGACCCTGCCGCTGACTGTGCGGTGCGGCTGGGCACGCAGGACAGCCAGTGGTGTGGGGGGGGGGGGAGGGATGTCAGACCCTACCGCTGGCTATGTGCTGCGGCCGGGCGCGCAGAACGGCGAGTGGTGGGGGGGGGGGGGGGCGGTTGTGTCAGAACCTGCCACTGACCGTGCGGTGCGGCCGGGCGCGCAGAACGGCGAGTGGTGGGGGAGAGGCGTGTCAGAACCTGCCACTGGCAGTGCGGTGCGGCCGGGCGCGCAGAACGGCCAGTGGTGTGTGTAGGGGAGGGGGGGATGTGAGAACCTGCCAGTGACCGTGCGGTGCTGCCCGGCACGCAGGACGGCCAGTCGCTGCTCGGCGTGGCCGGAGTGGACGTCACCATGCGTGAGATCCACCGACACGCGCCCTGGAAGAAGCTCGGCCCGTTCGGCTACACGTTCGCCATCAACCCGAACGGCATCGTGCTGTTCCACCCTCGTCTCCGCGAGCCGCTGCACTACATGGAGGTGCGTTGTCGGCGTGGGCACGCTGATTGGCGGCGGCGCTCTGACTGGTGCATTTGAGCGGCTTAGTCGGCCCAAGTTCGTGTTTTAACTGCGGGGGGCGATGCGGCTGCCTGTGCCACTGTGTGGTGGAGACTCAGCAGAGTCGCCGGGCAGGTGCCACAGCGTCCGGCTAAGACTGTGCCACCCGAACACTTAGAACCGAGGACTGCTGTTGCCAATGCTTTTAGTAAAACGTACGCATTTTAGCAACGCCTTGTTTGTACCGCGATCTTTGTTGCGCCGTTATTGGGACGACCTCGTGCCGGACCGTTGACGACAGCAGTGCGGCCCGCTGACGACAGGACCCGCCCGATCTGGACCTGACCCTGCTGGAGGGCGACAACCATGTGGTGAAGGACCTGCGCACGCAGATGATCCGACGGAACTCGAACAGCGTCAGCATGAACCAGACGGTGGTGCTGGAGGACGGTCACGTGGTACACGTGCGGAACCTGCAGTACACGTACCGGCCGGTAGATAACACCACCCTCAGGTCAGTCTCCGGAGCCGAAAGTGGCGGAGTCGCCGCCGGCACGTGCGTAGTGGTTGATCCTCCGGGCCTCGGGATCTGCAACGTCACCTTCAGGAGAGCGTGGATGCTTGTCTAACAAGGTAGTTCTGAGTGCGCATGTCTTGGGTAGATCGACGGGGCTACGCGGGTTGTACGTTGGTGGGTGACGTCCGAACGCCCAGTCACGTGCCGCGCTGACACATTCGGAACTAGGGCTTACATTGTTTCACCGGTAACCTGGGTCGGTCGTAGGACGCTGCTTTGTCGGATGCAAGATCAGGTTGTCATTTCGGCCATGTTTGGCAGAGCGAGAAGAGACACCTGATACCCGATATCTCGCCCAATGTATTCTCGGAACTGCTCGAGGTCAAGTCTTGCAGCGTGGGAATCTTGGCTCAGGCGCCGGGGACGTGCCGTAATGACTGCTGCAAAACCCACCGCTCTGACTGGCCCCGTAGACCTGAAATTTCCGTGCTGGCCGCAACAGCTGTTACCAGGACAAACCGAATACCCCAGTTGGGAAAGTGAGACTCGTTAGTCCCCTGCGTGGTGGACATGTGGGCTTACGTCCCAGACGCCTCGTTCACGTGACATAGGCGGTCAGCTGGCAGCTGGTTGGTAACTACAGGCTGGCACCGGCTCGTTTGTAATGTTTTGGGATCTCGACACTGGAATGGGCCCCGGCACGAGTGCAGGTCCGCGGGAGCCCCACAGGAACAGTGTCACCCGACATCCACGCCGGCATGCCACTTCCCGTGCTCTGGGACTGGCCGCGAACATAGAGACGCTGGCTCGCGCACAGCCTCCTGCATGCGGTGACCTCCTTGTGCGTCGCCGGACCACGCGCGGGCGACTGACGGCCGTCGCCCGCAGCCTGGGCCTGGTTCTGCCGGCTCGCCAGACGCACATGGTGGTGTTCGGCCAGTCGGTGTCCGGTGGCCTGCCGCGCTGCGACGGCTGCCTCCTGGCGCCCTCCTGGGAGTACTGCCCAGGCCTGACTGCGGACGGCGCCGAGAGGTGGCAGCAGCTGTCCGACCAACTCAAGGCGGGCGCCGAAGGCTGTGAGTATCGGGATCTATAGACTTAAGGGCAAGGCGAGCACGTTAATAATAAAGTACAGGTTTTAGTAAAGGCAAGACAACTTCATGATCTCATGGCTGTTTGCGTCGAGCCATTTGTGTAGCTATCTCAGGGATGCACTTAACTGTTGCAACTGCTTGCTTCTCGGCAATGAGCAAGGCATGTTCCGGTGACAAATGACTTACACGGGATGCATGCTGTTTGCAACGCTGCGCCATGGCGTCTTAGGCGCGTTTTACATCACCTTTGGAACATAAATTGAAATATTTTCCCCATGCAATAGGAGAAGAAATTCTGCAGGACAGTATACGCGAGGTCTGGAAGAACATTGGCCAGGGCTCATGCCACAAGGCCGTTTGATTTCTGCCATTTTCTGATGTCACTCAGCATAACACAGGACTCCCATTGGATGGGGTCGTGGTCGTGCAGGTATTTTAAGCACAGCGAGATGATCGTTTAAGGTATTATTCTTTGGGGAGGGGGGATCGCGGCTCGGAACCATAGGCTTGAGGTGTGAGCGGAGTCATTTTTTCAGTCGGTGCTTTTGCCAGAAAGTGATGAATTACGTGAGTCCAGAGGGCAAAAATGGCGTCGATCTTCAGGTGTGCAGCAGTGGCCCCAAGTTAGTTTGATTTGTTTATTAGTTTTAGGAATTACATTTAGCTTGACCAGATGCTCCAAATAGGCATACATTCTCGTAAAGGGAAGGAAAGGGGACAGCAGCCGCCCGTTTTTCCTCGTATATTGAAGGTCAGTTGTAGCCAGCATGGTGACTTAGGATGCTGCGGACCGCTGGGCCCTCCGCCTGCAGCATTTGCACTGACCTTCAGAGCTGGTGTTGCCGCCCCACCGGGGAAGCACATCTTACGGTAAACTGGACGCGGAAGCTCCTTTTGCTACCGCAAGCACTTCTCTACCAGTTGCTGGATGTATCACGGCCATTGCATCAACAGCACCCGCGTTTTCTCAAGACGATTTACGGATAGTTGGAAGCGCTCAGAAGGTATGACAAACAGTAGACTTCAACGCCCGGCCCCGTAAAGATTGCATCACAAATTTACGTTTACCGGCCCTTAAAGTGCCTGTGGGATCCACCAGTCATGTTTTACGTGTAGTATTTGTGCGTCAACTGACAGTAGAAAACGAGGCGGTGCCTTACGCTTGCACGCTACGTTAACGAATCAAACAGTCTCCTTCGTCCTCAGCCCTATTTTCCTGCACCAGCGCGCCGTCCTGCGCCCCCGCATCCCTGTCAGGTGACGCTAGACCTACGCCCTATGTGTCGTCTACGCCCGGACGACAGGCCTGTTTGGTCTGCTGGCCCCGCCCGAGCACGCCCACAGGCCTGGTCTGGGCGCCCCGCACACGGTAAGTCCCGGGGTCCGAGTTGCTGTTGTTGTTTATTGGAGTTAAGGGGCGCGCCGACTGCCGTGGTCATCTGGCGCCCACCCCATTTGGAGTCCGAGTAACCCACGGCCGCCACAGCACCGCCACGCCTTTAGCTCTTTCCGTAAAGCTCAGAGATGCTTATGGCCAACCAAAAAAGCTCTGACTTAACCGAATATAAAACAACCGGATGCGTTTTGATAGTCGAGGCTCACGCTTGCAGGCGCCGGGAATTGGCCGCGGATTTATTATTTTTCCCCACGCACATTTTTTGGGGGCTCTAGTCGCGCATATCTATTTTCAAGCGAGGTCAAAGCCGTAGCAGTTTAAGAGATAAAAGGAAATACCGATCCCAGTGAGTACAAGCACATACACTTGAACCGACATACCTTAAAATCGTGCCAGCCGTACGAGTCGTGCGTGGCGTGAACTGAAGTGCGGCAGCACTCCGGCCCTGCGGTGACGAGTCGGGCTGCTGTAAACTACAGACAGGCCCCTGTAAGCCCCTGTCCGCGTGCGCCGTGCGTCGCACGTGTGGCACGTCTCGTATGGCCGCAGGAGGCGGTGCTGTCTGTCTCCGCCTGTAGGGTTGGAACTCGCCTGGCCCGCTCCGCGGTGCTTAAAATGGTTACAAGCGTGGCAGTTGACTCCCGTCCGTGGCCGTCCTGACCGCTCTGGCCCCGGGCTCTGCACTCCTGACCTGTCGCTGCGCCCGAGCGCCTCGTCCTAGCGCTGGCGGCGGTGACGTCCCCGGCGCCGGCGCTGGGCGGGCCTGACACTGGGGCTGGGCGTGACACGGCCTCTGCGGTCGGCAGGCTGCTGGGCGGTGGCACTGGGCCTGACACTGGGGCTGGGCGTGACATGGCCTCTGCGGTCGACAGGCGCCGCCGACCTGGTGCAGCACCTAGCGTGGGATGCCAAGTGGACGGGCGCGGCGCCGGAGCAGTGGCAGACGGCGCAGGAGTCCGGCGTTGACGCCCGCTTTGTCGTCACCGACGGCGGCCTGACCCGCTTCTACCCCGTCTCCAGGTGGGTCAGGGCCGGCTGGGGCCGCCGTCCATGACCATGACCAGGGCTGTCTCTCCCATTCGTCTGGCCATTCTCATCCCACTTCGATGCAGCCATCCTGTCTCATCCCGTCCATTCCCAGACGTTTCCATTTCCTTAACAGGGGCCTGCTGGTTGATTTGGACCAACAACACCAACGGGCTCCTTGCGGCGGGTGATGATGAGGCGGACGGGAAGGATGAGCCCCTGACACGCGCCCGCCGGCCGGTGCCCGCTGGCCCGGTCACAGTGGTCACCTGCTGGTCAAGAGTGGCGTTTAACGGTACACGGGCTGCAGCGTGTGGTTTAAGTGATGACCTGTAGCGCGACCCGTAACTCCAGGACTGCAACGGTGGCACAGATGTGGGCCTGACGTTCTAGTTCTACCTGTTCTATGACATGAGTCGTGACCTGAGTCGTGAACTCAGTCGTGACCTGAGCCGTACCCCGCGCAGCGGCGCTGACCTCAGTTCCGAGCTGGACCCGTACCGGAGCGGGCTGTACCGGCACGCCTCACTCACCGAGGACCTGATCTTCCGACCGCGGGCCGAGAGCGGACGAGTGCTCGCCGCACGCAGGATAGCGGTGGCCAGCAGCACTGGCGGCATCTACACGCTGGCTGGTGAGCGGCGCTGTGGCGGCCGGTCGCTGGGGGAGAGAGGGGCAGCGGGGTCGGGCCAGGGCCTTCGGTCAGCCGCGGGCCGCTGGGAGAGAGAGGGGCAGCGGGGTCGGGCCGGGGCCTTCGGTCAGCCGCGGGCCGCTGGGAGAGAGAGGGGCAGCGGGGTCGGGCCGGGGCCATCGGTCAGCTACGGGCCGCTGGGGGAGAGAGGGGCAGCGGGGTCTGGCCGGGGCCTTCGGTCAGCTGCGGGCCGCTGAGAGAGAGAGGGGCAGCGGGGTCGGGCCGGGGCGTTCGGTCAGCCGCGGGCCGCTGGGGGAGAGAGGGGCAGCGGGGTCGGGCCGGGGCCTTCGGTCAGCTGCGTTGCCCTCCAGCAAGAGCTTGTTGTTGAGAATCTCAAAAATCGTATATTTACACCTTCCTTGAGTTGTGCGAGAGGCTCGCGTCATGTTTAAGTGTTTCCGGAAGTGGTGGGTCCTGCAAGGTAATCACTGCAGCTTGGTCGCAAAGTGGCAAACACAAACGAGCTCAGGCCAGGGGTGAAGCGTCCGCTGTCGGCTTTGGCGCGGGAGAGCTATGCTTCTGTGATAGGTGGGTGCTACATGACCTACAGTAGTCGATGCGCCCCCAAACCCCAAGTCATCATCATCTATGGCAGATGCACGCACATTCGCTTTGTCACTCCTGTCTGTGTCATTGACGCGTACGCTCACTCAGACAGACCACAGATGCCCACTATTTGTGCGGCACCCGTGATATGGTTGTGTTCATGGGTTAAACTTGCAAAGGAAGGTCCGTTTTCAGTTTGCTTCCGTTCTGGACATGGGTGGGAAACCATTGCATCTTCGGAATCATACGTATTCAGGCAGCACAAGTAGCCCTTCACGAGTAACGCAAGGTGAAGGGTGTGATATTTTTTTTATAGAGTTCTGTAAGCATTCTGAATGTGGAGAGAGAGCCGTATTGATGCGTGGCTCTGGACAATGTAGTAGTGCCGCGCTTGGTGCAAGTGCCGCCACTTTGAAAACATTTTCAGTTGTTGGAAGTGACATTGAAGCTTATTTTTCTGCAGTGATGTGCGACGTTCAAAACTTGTCAATAAGCGACTGATGAAGCTGAGGAGGCGAATCATTAATCTCTAGGGCTACTTTTCAAAAGTGTGTTACAAAAATGAATCTTTGTTTTGCTTTGCGCTTTGCTCTTGTGGGTTTCTTGAAGTCAGTTTGACAGAGAAAAGATGTCTTGAAGACGGAAAATTTGCTCGGCAACTTACTTTTTAAGTGATATGGGCCCCTTTTTGGGCACTTTATGATCTCTGGTCCCCTGGATGCTTTACGGTCTCTAGATACCGTGGAGGATCTGAGATGACGTTGCACCTTGGGACAGCCATGACATCGTGAGATGGAGTTGACATGTCTCGAAAGGGTCGGTTACTTCAGCTTGCCAAATATTTCAAACAGGTCTTGGGCGGCCAATGGGCCCCAGTTGGTCAGCGGGTCAGGGACGGTCGGCGCGAACAGGGCTTTCAGTACGCTCTGAAAACCTTTTCGTGGCCAACTTGAGTGGATGCTTTCGGCTGACACGTCACGCATTTCGTTAGTGAACGATTCCACCATAGATAGCAAGTTGGATTCCCACCGGCCCTGCATATTTATTGTGGGTCACTCACTCCTGAAGGTATAATGATCCACGAAAAGCGGTTCAAGTTTGGTGTATATGGGTTAAACAGAATTGTAACTGTCGAAATATGTCACATCATCCTTGCACTTTCTTGTGTCATCAGTAAAGTTGGCGTGCGGCACGAGCACTGAGGTGGCGCCGGCGCCGGCAGCGGCCGGGACGCAGCGCGCCGCCATGACAGTCACGTGACGCCGCGTGCCCGCAGTGGTGGGCGTGCAGTACAACGCCACCTGGCTGTGGGAGCGAGTGGACCGGGTGCTGGCGGCCTGCTCGGAGGAGGCGGGCGTGCGCTGCTGGCTGCTCGACACGGCCGGCGACGTGGTGTACTCGAGCGGGGAGAGCCGCTGGCTCGGCCAGCACCTGGGCCTCGAGGACCCCGAGCTGATGGCCGCGCTCGTTAACGCCACCGTCTACAAACAGGACGTGGTGTACAACTATCAGGGTGAGCACAGGCCGCGGACAGACCGACGGACTGCTAGCGCTCGGGAGCGGGAGCGGGGCCCAGATCCGGGTGCGGTGAGTGTGTTGGAAGCTCGGCGAGGAATGCAGCTGGGCTGGGCAATGTCCAGCTATTCGGTTTGAACTCGTTTGGTGGGGCGACGTCTGGGCGATGCCAAGTTAGAGGAGACATTGAATAATTTGTCGAGAACGACGCCGTGCGCGAGTGGAGGGAATTGCCTCTGGGTTGGAGACGGGCGTGCGGAGGTCAATGCGCTAGTGCAATGCGTATTCACGTGTACGCGTGATTTCATGGCGCGTGGGCAAGTACGAGCTGGTGGCGTGTGCGTACGACACTGTATGTGATCGCGTGTCGGCCACGCACGTCACCGCGTCCTTAGGAGCACACCGTGCGTGCGTGCGTGCGTATGTACGTGTATACGTGCGTACGTGGAATGCGTACATGGCGTGCGTGCGTGCACTTGTGTTCAGCATGCTGACGGGCACGACCGCGCGGCGGCGGTGGGCCGGGGCGCTGACGCGCTGACCGTGTCCGCAGGTGTGTGCAGGAAGAAGCGGCCGAACGCCAGCGCCGCGCCTTCGCTGGCCGACCCGCTGCGTTGGCTGAACGTCGACCTGCTGGTGGACCTGGCGGCCGGCGCTCTGAGCGTGCTCGACCACCTGCGTTATCTGCTGGCGAGGTGAGCGGCTGTCCGACCGGCGGCTGGCCGCCGACGGAGCCGACGGCGGGCCGTGTACATCGCGGGTGCCCCTGGGCCACGGGCCCGCCAAAGCCTGCCAAACGGCTTGATTGGGGCGCCTGTCGTGGGCCGCTAGGCCGGCTGTCCGAACTGAAGGAGTCGTTAAGTACCATTCGAAGGGTTCATTGGGCTCGGATGGTCCTCAGTGGGCTGCTGATGTGCTACGTCACGCGTGTGATGAAGGGACGGAGCGCCACCGCGTCCGCTGCGACCGCAGCCTCTCCTCGAGTGTAACCGTCAGAGCTCTCTGTGACCGCAGCTTCTCCGTTCCAGCGCACTCCTGTCGTATCAGGCGCCAGCGGCGGCCGCGCTGGACGAGTTCGGGTTCGAGATCAACGCGTTCGAGCACTCGTGCACGCAGCGGCTGGCGCGGACAGAGCTGACGCGCTCCCGCCGGCCGTACCAGGGCGAGCTACGCTGCCCGGTCTCCGGCTGCGTCCGCTCCTTCAGGGTACGCCCCGCCCTCGTCGGCACCGCCGGCGTGTCGAGCGGTGACCAGCGGGCGGCAGGACGGTCGGGCGCCTCAGGCGATGGGACACACCGGGCTTTCCGGTGCACACATGTATCGTTGTTTGCTGGACGCACTTACGACCTACCCGTCTGCTGCGTGCGGTTAGTTTCCGCGGGTTCAACGCTCGCTGTTCGCAGTCGCCTCTGTCGAGCGGCCGGACAGGCTCGGGGCGGGGCGCTGACTTCGGAGTCGCTCCTGTCGAGCGGCCGGACAGGCTCGGGGCGGGGCGCTGACGGCCCCGCTGTTGGTGGCAGGCGTCGCTGGTGGCCGACACGAACCTGGTGCTGGTGGCGGCGAGCCTGCCGTGCGGGTGTCCAGAGCTGGCCGGCGAAGACCTGCCCTTCCGGCCTGAGGAGGGTGAGTCCGGGCGGCGAGCCGCCTGACTGTGGGAGTTAGAGGACGATACAGAACGTGATGCAGAACGGAACAGAACATGCACGACACGATAGATGGCTATTCGGTGGTCTATTTGGGCAGCGTGGTGGCTGAGTGCCGAGCGTGTCGGAATGCCTCGTGGGGACCCGGGTTCGAATCCCGATTGCGCCATGGCCCCTGGGCGCTAACATGGCGATTACATTCGCTAGGACTGTATAAAAGAGATGCTACGATGTGCATTGTGTTCGGTTAGAAAAGGTGGTCTATTTGATCGAATTAAGATCTGAGGTCAGTCGTTAAAACTAAGACGCGTTGTTTCCTCAATGATTTTTTGTGTATAATACCGAGGATACGAAGGCGTGTATTCCTTTGAATTAGGTGAATGATTCTTGAACCCCGTTCTAAGATATGCATGCCTCTAAACCACTGCACTGGTCCACAGCGAGTTAACGCTAATGTCGTCTATGAACATGGTCTGATTTAGGATGAGCTGAATACTGTTTTGGCCTGCCACGAGGCAATACCACACTATCACGCGTGGGCAAACTGCGCTCATAAACCATGCACGTTACAAGTCCAAGCTAAGACCGAACCCTATATGCTCCGGTATGATCTTATTTTTCGTGACTGGCGATGACACGGCACATTAAGTCGCCCTTCATCAGCTCGTGGCTCTGAACATGGCTACCCGGCTTCATTTTTTTACGTTTCTAGAAAGTGACGAAAAATGGCCAACTTTTGTAAGGCGTCAGTATGTTAACAACATCAGTGGCTCTCAAACCATGCTCCGCGTAGACAGTGGCGCCGCCTCCGTCGCTGGCGATAGCTGACTGGTGATTGGCTGTGCAGCAGCCGGCTCAGCTCCACAGCGGTGTCGGCGGGCGTTCTAGAGCCGCCGTGTGACATGTGCATGACGCGTCATGTCATTTACCGAAACTGTGGTTCTACCCGTTGATCTTACCTGACTTGACCCAAACTCAGCGTGAGGTTCAGCGGACGGTCTTGACGGTATGGATTCACCTGCATATACTTAGAAGTTGGGAGCCCTCTAATAGTCTGGTTTTTCGTTAACAGCCCTTTCAGTAAATGAATGTTTCAGCTGACGTAAGAAGAAACTTAAAACAAGAGCGATACCCCTTCCCTCAACCGCAACGCGAGGTTGCTCGCCTAAGGGTGCCGGCATGGTGTCGCTCTGTGTTCGCTCGCGTTGGACGCCGTGCGCTGTAGCCGGCCGAGCGCTGACCTCTCCGGGGAGCTGACCCAGAGGCCCCGCTCCCGGCAGACGTGGGGCCGGACCGCTGTGGCGAGGACAAGACGCCTCTCTTCAGGCGCAGGCCCGACGCCTGCTTCGCCACGCATGAGAAGGTGGGTCGTGGCCCGGGGAGTGCGCCGCCCTCCCGGAGAGGGATATGGGGGTCCGCTGAGACCGTGTCCCGTCTGATGCCGCCGGCGGCAGGCTGGGATCCATCCAATCTCACTAGGACCGCTTAGGCAATCCTCTACCAGCTGACCTGCCCCGTTTGATCCTCTCTTTGACCATTACGTAAATACCCCTAAACCATTTTCGTGCCAAAAGCATGCAAGTAAAACGATTTCATCAGTGGCAGATGCAGGACCTTGAAAAGGAGCGGTGAACTAAAACAGTCGGCATTGAGCAAAACGCCACAATGTAGACTGTATCGTTTTGCCTCTCTATTGCATGTTATAGGATGCGATGCTTGGTTATGCGCGTGACATGTTCCGGAGCAGTGGCGGATGTAGGGCGCACAAAGCTGATGGATGGGGGGGGGGGGGGGAGGAGGAGGATACGCGTGTTTGGCACAGTGCGGAGATCCGCACAAATGGTACCATTTGCGGCGTTTCCCGTGATTTATATTTCTGACGCCACCCCCATGACCTGACATGCATCACTGCAATGTCTGAACTCTGCTGAAATGTCGTAGTCGACCAGTCATCAATAATCCCGATCGAAACTGCGTGGCCACTGTCCGTCCTTCTATCAGAACGCTCTCGCGGATCCGCCCTCGCCCCGTCGTTTACCTGGCTATGTATGTCTTTTCTATTCAGTGTGAAATGAATGGCGGACAGTAGACTGCCAACTGTCGATGAGCAGCCAGCTTATCATGATTACGGTGTCAGGTTGTCAGGAAAGTGCATGTGATGTGATGGGTTCGAAACATTGAATAGACGAAATACTTCGAAAAGATTATAAACGCATTAGCATATCTTCTGGTAACCTCGAAAAATTATAAACGTACTAGCATATCCCCGGGAAGCTTCATGTATCATGATAACGGTGTCAGGCAGTTATCAATGATCACGAAATTTATTTGGATACAAATACTTTTTCTGCCTATATCAAATATCTTTTTATAATCTGCCTCTGCCGGTATGAAAACTTACGCTGCAGCACGATGGCTCCATTTAGACACCACCACAATGTCTTTGCCTGTACCAAATTCTGTCAGCATATCGAACCATGCCAAAGCGATCATCCTAATCGATATGTGCTGCGCTAGTGTTGGCACTGTGCCACAGTTCTTTACTTTACGGCATAACTTCTTACACATTCGTCAATTAGCAGCAATCTCCACGGGGTTTGCTCTTGACTGTTTTTACTGCTGTGCAAATGTTGGTTCTGGATGGAAACTGTGGATGATCCTATGTTTACCACGGCACCTACCGCGTGCACCTGTTCCAGGAGAAGCCGGCCTGCAGCGGCTCGGGCCTCGCCACCGCCAGTCTGCTGCTGCTGCCGCTGACGATGGCGGCACGTGTCGCCGCGTAGCCGGCCGCCAGCGCCGGCCGCTGCCGGGGCTCCAGCGCCCGCCGATGCGCCGGTCAGACCTCTGCCGTGTCCCGGCCTGCCCCCGCCGGCCGTCCCGAGCGGCACCCCGGGCCGGCGTCAGACCACGAGACGAGGCACGTGTCCGCGTCTGGACCGCACAGCGGAGGCGCGCGGGTCAGAGGCAGGCCAGTTTCGCGTCAGGTTTTCGTTCACGTCTGGAGAGGGGTGGTGTTGTTGGAGACGCAGCGCGTCCGGCCGCCTTGTTCCTCTGGCCTCGGTCCTTCGAGACCAGTTTACGTGGGATGCGTCGGACACGCACGACGCCTGTCAACACGACGCAACCACTTGCGTAGGACGACACATCGGGTCGAAGTACCGGTGGGAGTTTGCTCACGTGGTGATTTTGTTTCATGTTTTGTTTGGGCTTTGTTGGGTTTTGTTTGGCTGGAGCTGCCTCGGCCTGCAAGGCCGTCGCAGAGCGGCGGTGTTGAGAAGAGAGCTGGGCAGTACCGCGGCCGGCGTGGAGTCGGGTCAGCCCGGGGACGACCCACTCCGCGCAGGAGCCACGCGTCAAGGCTCTCTCGGGCGCTCGGGCGAGGCTGCCTGACGGCGGCCGTCTGCCGGCGGAGTGGCCGCGTGTTGCGAGCGTGCAGGGCGAGGTGGTGAGTGCGGATGTAAGAGTGGAGGGGGGCTCATATAGAGTTAGGTGACGTGCATTCAGCGGGTGAGCGGCCGCTGCGGCACTTCAGGTCGCGAACGCGCTGCACCATGTTACGCTTGCGATTCTTGCTTTATATGCAACGCCGGCCAGCTCCTTCTGTCTCATTTGATGTGGGCCGGCTTACACAGCTCGTGATGTATCACGCACAGGGCAATGCTTACAAAGACAATCCGAGCCCCCGCAGCTCTGTGATGGAATCGGTGATTTTGCGGCATCGATTCCAGCTTCGACATGGAAGCAGGTGACATGATGGTGTCAGTAGGTGTCTTTCCGCGGTCGAAAGTGTGAATTTCCTCAGGAAAACGCGGTCGTTACCAAAAGACAGTTGCAAACAGCTTGCACCCCGTGTAAGTCATTTGTCACCGGAACGTGCTTTGCTCATTGCCTGGAAGCAAGCAGTCGCAACAATTAAGTGCACCCATGAGACAGCTACACAAATGGCTCGACGCAAACAGTCGTCAGATCATAAAATTGTCTTGCCATTACTAAACTTCTTCTTTATTCTTAACGGGACATTCTAATAGCATTCTGCAAGCTATGTTGAACTCTTCCAGCACATTATTCCGTTTCACGATGCATTCCTCTTTGTTTCTCTCAATCTGAATGAGTGCCTTGGAAAGCTCGGTGCATAAATTACTCATGCTGTTGATTGTACTTGTGCGAACAACGATTCCATGATCAACAAATTTGCTGTCACGTGAACTTAGCAACATTTCCCTCCCGTCGATAATTATGAATGCCCTCATCGTGCGCAGAACCACGGACGCATTTAAATGCTGTAGTCATTAGCCCATGCTGCCAGCTGTTTTGGGATGTCATTTTTCGTTCTTGACATGCGGGCACGGTCTGTTGTCTTGTGACGCACCAACGTGCACGTTTCAACTCAAGCAACGTCTTCAATTTGTGTCCTGTACGAGTGGTTCGAAATGTTTGGCACTATTCTGGTGCGTTGTGCAACGCATTGTTCCGGTGTTGAATTCGGTTCTGGCAGTCTAAATGTGTGCCCCGGTTTGAAATTTATTGGCAAATTAAGTACCATAGTTCACTTTAGGGCAGGCCGTACGCATGGCGCGGGTCTCCAGATTTGCCGTGCAAGAGGTCGGGCCTGGGAAGTGACGTGGCTTCGCAGCGGTGGTATGCCTGGGCACGGGCGATCTCTATCATCTTACCACTTCCGCGTTGCAATGGTTTGGTTTGAGCAACATGCACTTTTGCGGCATATTCGTAGATTGTGGATCATGTATTCGATTTAGTGATATCAACCCAGCGTACGCTGTCATTGTTTCATTATGGAATGCGTTGGGAACGCTTTTGGCCTGTTTGGTGACTGATCTTGCATTCCATTGCATTATGAAGGTTTCATACTGGCCATTTTGCCCTCAGAAAGCCTCCTTCGTTCGCGGTATCATTGGTATGGTCACCAACCCAGGTTATCTCGCGGGCTGAATTTATTCTTTGATTTGAATCATGACTATACCACCCTCTAGCCATTGGTGCATGCATCCTCTTCTGGTTCTGTTCGCTTTCTCGTTTCATGCGAAGCTGAATGCTGGCATTCCTCTATTATTAAATACTTCAAGCTGCTTTTGGAAGCGTGACCATCAAATGCGTGACTGAGAGGAACGGAATGGGCACGGATGAAACACATAGAAGAAACATTTTTTCTTAATCCGCCTGAAATTGAAGCTGTTCGTGATAAGGCACATTGGCAAAATTACCACTCTTCTAATGCGCGCCATTAAGGGTAGCATCTCGATCTTTGGCTTCGATCGTTTTGGAGTTTCCTGATCTTTGATCAGGGGTATCTCACCAGAGTGGTAAATATTCCATGTGGCCAGTTTCGCACACCAAATGACGACTTGTAAGTGCCTCTCTGTAAGTTTAGGTGCAACGACTCACTTTTCATTGCTTGGGCGTTTACCGCTTTGCGAAATAAGACGGCAAAGTGATGTAACGCATGCCATGTTACTGGCCGTGATGCCAGACAGATGGAAGACCAGTGAAATTGTGGATTCGTCCTAGCCGCATATAATTTAGGGGAGTTTGCAGCTGTTGACACTGCCGCCAAAAAAAGGATTGTTACCAGTATAACAGATAAAACAGCGTTTCATATATGTACCGCGCCAGTGTGAGCCCTCGCCTCGCCTAACGCCTCGCTAACAAGATTTCCATACACCAATCATGTCCGGGTGTGACCGCCATAAACTAGCTAATAGCATGAGCTTACACGCAAAATATCGTATCATTTCATGAAAGCATCCCGCAAATGTATACGCCCAACAATTTTCCGTAAGTGCTCATCTGATTGCTCTGAATACTCCTGCAATCTCCGGACTTAAGGAAAAGAGCGGTAATATATGACTTTCCATACTATCCAGACGCGTCGTGTTAGTTGCATCGAGCGAGGCAGCCGTTTTCAGAAGCTGTAACTTTGCAACAATGCAGGCTGCAGAGACGTGTTTGCCACTGGCTGATACTGACACTTGCGAAATACCCTTCACTGGCTTATATATATATATATATATATATACACTTGTGTGTAGGTGTGGGCTGGGTTTGTGCGTGCGTTTGTCTGCATGCATATGCTGCATATACGGCCTTGTCGGTTGTGCGCTGTGGAGAAACAATGCTAGTCAGCAAGTACCGTCGTGCGTGCTTCAGGGGTTTAATAGCGCTGTGGTGGTGGCGGTGCCATCGAGACGTGACTCCAGAAGCACTGAGTGTTAAGCATCCCGCCAGATGTCACACTTCGCTGTTTCTCACTGGGGCGGTGTGGTGGCCGGACATCTGAACCAAATTGTAACGGTTGCAGGGTAAGTGGTGATTTTGGCGTGGGAAAGGTGACTACTTGTTGAAAGTGATCTGGGTTAGAAACGTTTGATGTTCGATACGTTGCCAGCGTGTACATTTTAAGTAGGAATACGCTGTTTTGGTGTTCGATGCGGCTTGTGAACTAGAATACGGCAGTTGAAAGATAACCCGTCCAGTCCCGCGAGGGTGCAGTTGGATTTCGCCACCGTCGCATGAGACGGGTGGCCGTAAGACGCAATGATCAGGTATGTCCGAGACAGTGAGCCATTCAAGCCACTGAGCACTGGCGCAGTCATGGCAGCGGGGGGCGATTGCAAAAACCCCAGGGAATGACAGCGTCCCGCGGCGTGAAGTGTGCGTTTTCTCCTGCCCTTAGCAGGGCGCGAGTGCTATGACCTTCCGCTGGGCAGCCGCGGGTTGACGATGGAGTTTGTTTTAGGGACTAATCTGTGCAATGCTGTCAGGCCGCCGCGCTGCTTTGAGACGATGGATCGACAGGCATCGAGCTCGCTTTCATGTGCCACATTGCCGTTCGTTTGTACACCTACTGACGCTTAGTCCGTCTCCGCTGATATGACATGCGTTACGACTTTTTGGACGCCGGTGACCTGTCTGTTTCGCGCTGCCTGCTCGTAACGTGCGTAGGTTCTCAGCTGCTGGTCTACGAGGTGCTTCTTGAAAAGGTGTGCGAATTGTTGTTCACATAGCTAATCTACAATAAATATGCAACGGCATGCTCACACCGTACTCAGGCGTTTCCATTTCCCCACGCGTGGTCCTGACTGCTCACGGCGCGCGGTGGAGAGTCACGGTCGCGCCTTGCACTGATTTAACTCGTCCTCAATTCAATCCCGACCCACGGCCGCCCCTGAGGCTTCATCCGGCTCGTGGCAGCTGTATGCACTCCCACACAACCTTCACCGCGTTTCGTACTCGTGTATTTGTATGCAGTTAGCAGCCGATGTATGTGAACAATGCGGTGGTTGCAATCGCAGCCATCAGGATGGGGAGATTCAAGGGACACAGTAAACATTGATCCTGCTTATGTTAAAAACATGTTTTAACCCTACTACTTTGTGGGAGACGGAGGAGATGGGGAAAGGCCACAGGCTTCTCACAAGATATGCATTGTTTTTCTTTTAGATCACGTGCTAGGCCAAATTGAGCTCTGCTCACAACTAGATAGTAGCAAAATCCGCTTTTCGCCTCCAAACAGTCTCCTCTATAACCCCATACCGGCCGCTGTCCACTAGCCACACATAACCGCCCGCTGCAGACGCTGGACCCGCCGGCCGAGTGATTCGCCGTCGGCCGGGTGCCTCGCCATTGCATCAGCCGTGGGGCCGGCTGGGTTATGTGCAGCCAGGGACAGCGTGTCCGAATTTGGGATGGGGGGGGGGGCGGGCAGCGACTTGACGAGGGCCCCCCAAACCGATGGGCTCCTGTATTTCAGTACAGGGGCGCTGTCAGAGTCTTGGGGAGGGAGGGGCACAGAGCTGACAGTGAGTCCCCCGATACTAAAAGCTTCCCCATACCAAAAATCGCAGAATATTGTCCATTTGTTAATGAGGGCTTGCTTTTTCAAACTTTTCATGTTTACCCTCTAATTGGAATAGAAGCCAGAAGTTACCGCGACATTATGTCTGAATTTTATAGTTAAGTGAAGATCGTGCGTTGAACGACCGCATGAAATAAATCAGCAGCGCTCTTCGTTTGACAATGGTCCAGTGGACTTTTTCTGAACCGACAGAACTCAGAAGCTTTGTCAAAATCTTGTCTGGGCTGTACAGAGATGTTAAGAACCCTCGAATGTAGATCGAAATGGGTCAATAATTTGCATTAACATGGCCAAGCCATGCTTGTCTGGAAATGTTCAACGCTCAGTCAGAATCGGTTAGTGATGCAAGTTCTGTGATGTAGTTTTGAGCGTGCACACAAGTCTCAGCAAAACCTCGACGCCAGGCTCTGCAGACTCCATACGCCGCGCAGCGTCGGCCCAGCGACTAGCACAAAGTTGTGGCCAACGGGTGGGCGAAATCAAACCTTTGATAAAAAGTACCTTTGAATGCGTGACGATTTCAGACCGTACATTTAGAAGGTACCCAGACGTATATTTCACTTGTGCAGTTTTTAGACTTGAATTGAGCGGATTGGCCCGAATCTGGTGGAAGAACTGGAGGAGCAAATGTAGGATCATTATTTTCGTGCTGCTGTAGCTGTTAATCTGTCCAGAGGGCAACTCCAAAGTTGTAAAAAGATGCATCCGGCCTAACCTTTGATCGCTACGAGTTGATTTTCTAAGACATCCGGAAGTATTACTCCACGACGGTCGCTCTCGCGCGTGCGGCACCCGCCGCCTAATGTTGACTGCAGTGGCCAACGCCGTTCGCTTTTACGGAAACTGCAACCCAGGCTATCGCTCTCCTTGCCCCGGAGATCGCGGGCGCGCAGGTTGAAACGTTTTGATGTTTTGTTTCACCAGTTGATCCTGCAGAAGAATAAACGTTCTCAGGCAAACGTGAGATGGCCTCGCTCATTTCTGAACTCATTCCTACCCACTCTTTTCAACACTAATGAGGCCCTTGATTTCTTTCGGGGAATGAGTCGCCCTTAAAAAAACACAGAGGGGGAACATTATTGTTTCCGGTCAAGGGCTAACGGGCCATTTGTTCCGCCGCGGGGTGTTTTCCGGCAGCCATCCTGGCGGCACGGAACAGGATCCCCGAGCCGATCGGGCGGCCCTTAGAGGGATACATCACATCACATTGATCCCCTCCCTGATGCGGGAGGCCTTCTGACCCGCGCAGACCGCAGTTGACCCCGGATCGGTATAGGAACCCTCATTGACGCAATAACCTTCCTGGTCGTCGCAGTTGGTCCAATAATTGGCTACGTAGATACCAGTTTAGCTTAATGGGCCATGCTAGAGTTGGGATGGAGGGCACACAGTTCGGTACTGGGCTCCCTGGCTGACACGGGATCCTTTTATTGCCTCAATGTGAACAATCATCATAAACTGTCATGTCTCCTTTCATTGTCAGAGGGCCCGGACCAACGCAACATGCCCTCTATCATTCGGGATCCCGTCACGTTCCTGTTGACCAAGTATTTCTCTGGCCGACTCGAGGCCATTTGTTGATACATAATACCTTGTTGGGCACTGTGAACCCCTGAACGATGCAGGAGCCCCGCATTGTTGCAGGAACCCCGACCAATGTAAATCGTGGGCCCGGCTGTGTCCCTGCTTGAGAAACGGGCCCCAGAGCTCGGAGTGACAAGGAGCCGACTGCTCGGTGTTGGTGATCTCTGGCTGAAACAGAAGAGTGCTCTGTCTCAGAAGTCCCCAATCGGTACAAGAGGCCCTCTAATTGACATTTGAGATCACGACCCTAGGGGCGGGATCCTTAACGTGATCTACAGCCAGCCCTTTGGGCCTCTAGCCTTCCGACCGGGCCCTTGATGTACGGTCTCAAGAGACCATTCGGCCCCTTTTTTGGGCCCCCTCAAACGCCGCTTCTGGCCAACTCGGGCCACTTGCCGCCAAACGACCCGTGTTAGGCACTGTGTCCCTGAGCGACACAGGAGCCCCTGTGTCAGGGAGCCCAACATTGCAAAGCGCGGGCCCCGGCCTCGTTCCTGGCCTGTTTCGTTCCCTCGAGACCCTATATAATATAGATAGAGAACCCTAATAAGGGGGACCTTATAAAAGCCATCTGACTGATGTTTCAGGTCAAGGCACTACGGGTGGGGGGGGGGGGGGGAGGAGGCTGGGTCTGAGTCCAATGAGGCCGTTGACCTTTGGTCCGGAGGAGCCCTCCGGCCCCTCCTCTAACCTCAAACAAAGTCCGTGACCGACTAGGGGTCACCAGCCGAGACGTGACCCTCTGTTGTGCACCTTGGGCCCCTGACCGGCAAAGGGGTCCCAATCACTGTTCCAGGGACCCAGACGAATGCAAATCGGGGCCCCCGGTCTTGCTCCTGCTTAGGAAGTGGGCCTCTTGGATTCAGACCGACAGGGAGCCAACTGCTCGGTGTTAGTAGTCTCTGGTCGAGTCAGACACCCGCGTAGTCTCGCGTGTGTGGGAGGGCGGGGGGAAGGGGGCCCTCAAAAGGTGCAAGACGACCTCCGACTTATATTTTAAGTCACAATCCTACGGGCCGCGATTCTGAACGTGACCTGCAGCCAATCCGTGCCCTCATGCCCTCCAACCGGACACCTGATCGTCGGTTCCGGCGGGCCGCCCTGGCCCCTCTACGGGCCCCACAAAAGAAAACGAGTCAAATGTGGTAATTTTTTGGGGAGACTTTTCACTGGGGGCTCTTTATTAAGCTGTGTGCCGCCCTCCCACCTCTCTTGCCAAAACTTTGGCCTCTTCTCTGGTATAAGATGGAGCTTGTGGGATCTGAAATGGGCTCTTCTCGGGTAAAGTGTTTAAGTGGACCCTTTCCGGACCTGAGATGCACACTTTCTGCCTAAAACGTGTCATTTCATGATTTAAAAAACGCCCTACTTCGGTCTACGATGGACCATTTCCAGGCCGGAAAAGGGCCCCTCCGTGCCTGGAAGCGACATATATGTCTTCCCGTCTCGAAATGGGCCATTTCCAGCGAAACATGTGTTATTCGCGGACACAAAATGATTACTTTGGGCTTAAAATGGGCGCTTTCCAGACCAGGCATGGGCCCTCTACGCTGACTTTGGTAACACAGCAAGCAAGTGCTACCACATACCCGAGGGCCCCTTCTAGGTCACCTGAAATTATTGGGGAGGGGGGGGGGGGGCGAAAAGATACTTCTGCCTCCGCCTCAAAAGATAGGGGAGGCAGTTTGCCCCAGCTGCCCTCCCCCCTGTGTGCCGCCGCTGCGTGCAGCTACAAGACAGGTCTCTGTTCAAGACCAGGCATGGCCACCCACCACATTCCACCTGTTTCGTCGGAACCGTAATTATGCCTGGCTTGCTTAATGCGATTCGATACTTCCTTTGAAAAGTCGCCTCCAGCGTCTCACCAGCCGCCAGTTGCATCAGATAGTTATGGGATCACAAGGCGATCCCTACTTTATGATTGGTTTAGCCGGTCATCGAACGATGTCGTGCTCGCTTCTTGTTGGCTAGCTATCACATCATTTCCGGAACCTGTGACCATGCCTCGTTTCCAATGCACGTAGTTTATAACGCGCACCGTTGGTGACCATGTATGCGCTCCCTGGACTCGAAGACGCAAGGCCGCTGTTGGTTATGCACGTGGACATTGTGGTGTGGTGTGTGTTGGTGAGTGCAAGTTACTGGAAAACAGAAGATGTAGACCGACAAGATATATCTTTGGTTGACTCGCGGGAAAGATTGGCATGAGCGAGGCCTGCACTAGTTTATCACGCCAGCAGTAAGAAATCTGCTACGCGGATTCTGACTAAAAGCAACCAACGCCGTTGCGCCCTCAGTTACAAAAGGAAGAAAACGAAAAAACGTCACAGACAATGCATTTCCACACACATCCGTACATAACATCTCGTATAACACGTAGACAGACGACCCCACCCACCTGAGGATCAACCCTTTCAGGTCAGGAAACCATTCCCAATGCCTCTTGAACCAAGCCTTCGTAATTTTCGTATCTTATAACTAAACAGGAGCAAAAATAATGGTCACCGATAGCCCAGATCACCAGAGCCCAACATCCAGACACGTGCCCGGATCGCCCAGAGCCCAACATCCAGAAAAGATCCCGGGTCCCAGCAGACCCCAGATTCAGATCTTAGGGATCCGATCTTGGGTTTCTGGGAGTCTTGGCACATGTCTGGTCATCGACACCGTTCTCAATCCTTCCTGATCTGCGGTTCGTAATTTTCGTATAGTATACCTAAACAGACGGATTATGTTCAAGTATACCATCCCCAATCACTTCCAACTTCATTGATTTGCACATCCTTAAACTAAACAGGGGCAGTAACTAATCAAATATATATTTCCAGGTCCTCCTGATCTGCGGTTTGCTAATTTACAGGTCTTATCGACTATCTGTGCAATCTAAAACCGTCATATGCTATCATTTGGTCCATAACACACACCACGCGAATTCTGAAACACAACCGAATAACCATTCACCTTGCAAAACCCGACATGGCAATGCAAAAGATCAAACAACATAATCCTAACACTAAGATAAGAAAATACAAGTCCGTACGTCCCAGAGCACTTCGTCATCGATCACAGACGGCCAACAGACACACACTTAATATGCCATTGTATCACCCCGCGCGCCGACCATGCTACGCTTACCGCGGTGCACGAATTTCAGAAGGCGATCGCAACACACCCACAGCCGTCTAGTGATCTCCAGCTTTGACTGCGTACACCAGCGCACGCGCAGTCGGAGATAAAGGGACGACATGACGCAGTCCGGCGCGCCACGAACTCGCGACTGATCTTCCATCGGCGCGCGAGTGTCAGCGGTCGGCGACGCTCTCCAGTACGGCGTGCAGGGCGTTGTCGCGGCGCCGCACGAGCTCCGCCGCCCGGCGGAAGTGGCCGGTCGACAGCAGAAACAGCACCGCCTCCCGCTGTAACGGGACACGTCAGGTGAGCAAAACGGAAACGGCACCGCCTCCCGCTAGAACAGGACACGTCAGGGGAGCGAAATGGAAACGGCACCGCCTCCCGCTGTAACGGGGCACGTCAGGTGAGCAAAACGGAAACGGCACCGCCTCCCGCTAGAACAGGACACGTCAGGTGAGCGAGACGGAAACAGCACCGCCTCCCGCTGACACTGGCCCTGCAAATAAGCGGTAAAACAATGACACCTTCATTTACGCAATATCTCCTAGGGGCCACAGAGGCCATTCTTGAATACACAAAATCCCCATGAACTGTGGTGCCATTATGCCCCGCCTCCCCTGCCCAGCCGCGGCAACGATGAGTGGAATTTAATCAGGTACTTCAAGTTACAGATTGGCGTCAGGGCCAGCCGTGCCCTGCCGCGTCGTGTGTTATCCGCACATGGGCTCCGCAGTATGCGGCGGGAATACAGTCTCTGAGTCCCGTCCTACTTCCACCTGTAAAACAACGAGCTTAAGGCCGTGACCGTGCTGAGTACCATGGCGTATTTCACAGATTAAGGAGCAGTGATTAAGGTGAGAAAGAACGAGTAAGTCATACAGTAGACGGTCTGTCCTTTTATCAATGAGTGTGCCACCTCCACCAATAATAACAAGGTTTATACTGTCCTCGAAACATGTGACATACGATGTAACAAGCCGGTAGGATGTTCACGCTGTCCTCTATCCTTACAGAACTAAGTTTTGTTTCATGACCGTGTTCAATTGTATGTTCATTCGCGATGATCCTGCGTTTGAACTATACAAATTTTGGATAACAAGAGACTTTGTTCCTGCTTCAAGACGATTAGTGTAAAAACAACAGGAATGGGTAAAAGTTTTTCAGTTACACTATTTCGCAATTGGTGCACGTCTGCATGGCGACCGTGCCGGTTACAGCTGCCTGTTGCATGTGACAGCCAGGCAATTTTAGACCAGCAACTGACCGCCCGCGCCAACAGCCAACGTCGGCTGGTGAAGCGGAGACGCGCCGGCTCACCTCTCGTCCGATGGCGATCAGGTGGTCGGCGTGCTTGCCGATGACCTGGGCGGCCTGGCCGGGCGGCAAGGAGCAGCGCGCCAGCACCACGGCCTCCTCCCAGAGGCCCGACGACTGCAGGTACCGGCAGCCGTCCAGCGTCTGGCCGATCACGCACAGGATCTCCACCCCTGGCCGGAGACGGCCGTCAGCGCACGCACAGCTGGCCCGAGACCGTGGTCAGCATGTACAGAGACGACCATCGGCATGTACAGAGACCTGGGTCAGTACGTACAGAGACGAGGGGTCAGCAAGCACAGCCCGCTGGCGTATCCACATATCGCGAGGATGTCGTGCTGCTGCATATCACGTACAAACTACGGTTGACAGCAGCATTGCGCCATACCATTCCAAACGGCCTCTTCCGAATACCTTTATACACGTGTCCCGCCGCGATCAGGCTGGTCGCTACCAGCTTCGCGACGCCGCCGCCGTCGGAGCCCAGCGACCCAGAGGCCAGCACGCACGCCCTGTCAGGCAGGAGACGGTGTCAGATATGCCGAGCACACGTCCTGTCAGACAGGAGACGGTGTCAGGTATGCCGGGCACACGTCCTGTCAGGCAGGATATGGTGTCAGGTATGCCGGGCACACGCCCTGTCAGGCAGGAGACGGTGTCAGGTGTGCCGGGCACAAGCCCCGTCAGACAGGAGACGGTGTCAGGTATGCCGGACACACGCCCTGCCAGGCAGGAGACGGTGTCAGGTATGCCGAGTACACGCCCGGTGTAGCCGCATCCCGTGTGACATCTGGAGGAGCACCTCGTGTGACATCGGGAGCCGGGGATACCGGAGTGCCGGCCACATGCGCGGACAAATCGCTGCTGACACCGCTGCACCATACGCGGCGAAAACCAACAAACACCACGCAACCCGGAGAGGCGGCGCCCATTCCTAATTGGAGATATTTCAAGACGAGAACTATTTACGCATGGAAAAATGGGTTAACGTTCATGTACGAACTCAATATTCGATAGGCTGGGTTACCGAGAGCTGGCTACTCAGAGCAACAGACTCCAAAGCAGTCTGAAATGCTCTAATAGCCGTCTAATATGTTTGGCTGTCATCAACATTAACAGAAAGCTCATCTACATGATCTCAACACGATGGGCAAAACCAACCCATGTGGTCTGCACGGAATGCGGCTGTCCCGCGGCGCGTGCGCCGGTCTCGGTCCGCCTACTTGAGACAGTTAGTGTAGAAACTGGGGTCGGACGGCTCCGTCTCCAGCAGCGCCTGCGCCGCTCGCTCCGTCTGGCCCAGCAGAATCATCTGGCGCGTGGCGTCATCGGAGGCGGACGGCAGGTGCGCCAGCCGTACCGCCAGCCGCTCCTGCGCATGCGCCTGAGGACCGCCCGGGCAACAGCTACACGCCGTGGACATGTAGCGCATGGCACACACTGTATTCTGCGCCGCAAGTGTGCCGTGCCGTATTTCTAGGCATACCCGACATGCCAGCAAAAACAGCTGATCGATAAAAATCAGACATGTTCTATGTACACTGGATTGTAAAGATAATACGGCAGATGATGAATCACATTTATCGAAAAGTTTCCCTCACGGGGGCAACACCAGCTGCAAAGGGAGGGCCGGCCTGCGATATGATAGGGCAAGTTTTTTAGGGGGAAGGTGATAGTAAGAGCAGCCAATAGCTTGCAACAATATCACAACTATTTCCGACGTCGTTCAATAAATCGCTTCATGAATTATCAGCACATGTGGGTTGTCAATTTTCAGGGCGACCCTGAAAATAATTTATAGAATTTTGCAAAAAAAGATACCTAACATGGATACCAAGGAAGAGCTTCTGTCTTACTGAGCTTCACAAAACGGTGGCTTATGTATTGTTGCCCTTTCCCGACCCATCGGAGCCCTACCGAACTGGGCATTGAGAATCAGGCCCTGGTGTCAAATCATGTCGCAATGAGAATGAGGCCTTACCTTGTACGTCTCTGAGTCGCAGAGCAGGTCAAAGTCCAGTCCAATATACGGCTGCTTCTCATCATCCTGAAATTCAGCGAAGGTTCAGGACTAGTAACGCAGCCTTTCGAGTAGCGTTCCACCGCCTGAATTCGAATGACACATCTATGGCTCAGTGAAATAATGCATTATCATACCCGTTGCGCAAGGATTGTATGCATTGTGCATTGCAAACATGATGAGACGGTAAGATTGTTGGGTGCACCATGTAACATGAGCAATAACATGAGCATAAACGTGTGCATCACACAAACGCACAGGAACTTTCACATTGATTAAAAATCCTTTGAAACCGTTCCACGCTGTGATATGCATCCATTGTACATCGTACATTTCTATTCCAGCCCCTGCTCGCCTAGGGAAGAAGAAACCGCAGTAAAAGAGAATCCGGGATTGCGCCAATCGTACCTCGCTTACTATCCCCAATGCCCGGCGAGATATGACATTGGCAAATATTACCGAAATCTTCTTTTGTATTCTAGTCATAAAGTTTAAAAATCTGTCAGGACCTGCCAACGTTCGCCAGCTTGCGTTCACTTATTCGTTGCAGCGAACTAGCTGAGCTAATGTCGACAGAGTGCATCATATCGTCACTGTTAAGATCATTACCTAGCCCTTCACACCGAGCGATGAAAGGAACCTACACAGATTATATTGATTGGCTCCATTCCGTTCCTGAATCGAATCGCACACACGTCTGCTAAGAACCGGACTGGCGAGGCAGGAGGCGGCCCACAGTCAGGGAGAGGTCGCCGGGGCAGTGATCAGCACCGCTCGATGAGCACGTGACCGTCGATCCGCGGCCCTGTCAGCGACCGTCGCTGAGCGTCTGGGAGCGGCCGTCGCCGGCAAACCGACCTGGCTGCCTGCGTGCCGGCTCAGGTAGTGGCAGGCCACGCGCCACAGACGGGACGAGGACTCGTTGCCGAGCAGCTGGGCGGCCACGAGGCCGCGCTCGGCCGGCGGGCTGCGCTCGTCCGCCAGCCAGGCGAGCAGGCCGGCCGGCAGCGTCAGCAGGAAGTCACGTACACCTGGCGGCCGGCCGCGCCCAGCTCAGTCGAGTCCCCCGGGCCGGTGCACGAGGTCAGCAGGGTCCCTCCGGGCCGACAAACGGGGGGTCAGCTGGGTCACCCCTGGGCCGACACGGGGGTCAGCTGGGTCACCCCCTGCCCAAAACACAGGGGGTCAGCTGGGTCACCCCTGTGCCGACACACGGTGGTCAGCTGGGTCACCCCCGGCCCAAAACACAGGGTCAGCTGGGTCACTACCGTCCCGACACACAGGAGTCAGCTGGGTCACTACCGGCCCGACACACAGTGCAAAGCGACTGACAATCCAACAGCCCTCCGGGTCCGACCAGACCATCTGCAGAGCAAATCAGACATACTTCTTCTTCGGAAATCCCATGGCTAGTGTAACGCGATGCATGACTTCATGACAATGCTCTTCGTGAAGATTCGATTCATAACCGTAATGTTCATATCGCGCATGGGAGCCGGCTGGCTTCAACACACGATAGAGAAAACAACGCGCGACAATAAACTTAATACTGAGTAGCGGCACGGATGGCAATGCCGCGAGTGCCGCAGTGACCGGACGGCCTCTGATGGCGGTGCGATCTAGTCTTCATTAACGGATGACGACTGAAATGGTCTCTCCGCCGCAGGCGACTGTCGCGCAGCTGGGCCATCAACAGACACACGTGACTGCGGGAGTCGGTGTGACCTGGACGCACCTTGGTCGTCGCCGGTGTAGGGTCCGTCGCTGGCGCTGAACAGGTACTGCTCCAGCGCAGAGACCGAGCCCAGGCTCATCAGGCACGGGTGGCAGACGGCCGCTGGAAACACGGGACGACAGCTCAGCTGGTGCCCACCCCGCTCAGCCCCCTCTGCCCCGATCAGGCCCCTCTGTCCAGGCTCACTCACCTCTGTCCCGCTCGGCCCCCTCTGCCTCGCTCAGGCCCCTCTGCCCCGCTCGAGTCCCTCCGTCCCGCTCGATCCTCTTTGCCCCGCTCGGCCCCCTATACCCCACTCTGCCCCTCTGTCCCGCTCCGTCCCCTCTGCCCCGTTCGGCCCCCCTCCACCCCGCTCAGCCCCTCTACCCCGTTCGGCCCCCTCCGCCTCGCTCAGGCCCTCTGTCCCGCTCTGTCCCCTCTGTCCCGTTCGGCCCCCCTCCATCCCACTCAGCCCCTTTGCCCCGTTCGGCCCCCTCCATCCCGCTCAGTCCCGTCAGCCCGCTCGGCAGTGGCGGCGTTGAGGGCGTAGCACTCGGTGGTGTGACACCCGTCACTAGTCACACCCCCATTTGGAACAATCGCACCACATAGTGATGCTGCTGCGGCGGCCGTGACGAAATCTACGTCGACGATTAACAGCGGCAAAGAGTGATGCGGCGGCGTGCGTCATCAACTTATAACCGATGTCTGTGACGAAATATGCGTAGATATCCCTGTATCTTAGATAGCTGGGTATTTTATACGAGAACGGTGTCAGAGGCCATCACCGGAGATCAGTGTCGGCCTTGGAGGTCATAACCCTAGCTCAGTGTCGGCGCTGGGGGCCATTACCCGAGATCAGTGTCGACGTTGCAGGTCATTGTCCGAGGTCAGTGCCAATTTCGGAGGTTATTACTCGAGTCAGTGTCAGCGTCGGAGTTAAAGTGACAGCAGGGTGTCCTCCTCTCTACTGGTAGCCACACTGCCCCGCCCCTGACCTGGACTGATATGACCCCTATCGACCTGACCGTAGCGGAGAGGGGCGGGCGGAGCACAGTCGGCCGGCGCACCTTTGTTCTGGTACATGTCCGTCGGGCTGCTGGAGGTGCTCATGTTCAGGTCGAACACACGCACGCAGTTGTCGGCCGTCAACAGCACGGGCTTGTCCGAGGCCGCCCAATCGCAGTCCAGTATGCGGATGACGTCACGGGGCGAGCGCAGCTGCGATATCCGCTGGTCCTGAACGGGGTGCAGAACGCGTGACGCGCGGCAGCGCAGATCGCTCCCCGCCCGGCGGCGGATCGCTCCATCTGGCGACACTTGAAGCAACTGGGTCGCGATTTGACGGAAGATTCCCCGTATCAAAAAACGTTTGCACAGTATCACTCAAAATCTGCTTCAGAAAAGATGAACGAGAGCGGCACGACTACGATGGAGCTCGCTTTGAAAAAGAATAGCAGTCGGCAGACAGACCATGAAGACAGTCTTTCAAGCACTTCCAATAATACCATCTGTTGGTGTGAAATTGACGGCACGAAATATGGAAACACGGCTTTTGCTTACAGTTCTGGTATCCCATATATCGACACCATCCGCAAAGAGGACAAGAAGCTTCATATTGCCGCGACCTGGGGCGAACTTCAGCTTCTTGACGGCGCCGCGATGTGTCGCCACCGTATGCGCAAGCTTCGAGGACAGGTCCCAAATGCACAGTTGCCCCTCGATGTCGCCGAGTATCAGCTGGAAGAGAGATAGTGCCCACTTAATCAAAAGCCGCGCTGATATTTATTTCACACCTTCGCACCAGAGGCAGGCCAAGAGAGATAACGCATTAACACAACACACAACTGACACATTTTTTCCGCTTGGAGTTTTGCAATACTTGGGGTCAGTATCACGGACATGGCAACATATCGTTCGGTATCGATGCCAGGCATGGGTGCCGTCCCCGCTCGGCGCTCGGCTGCTCACCTGGTCACCCTTCCAGGCGATGCCGACCACGGTGCTGACGCCGGGGTCGGCCGGAATGCGCGTGCCGTCGCGCACCTGGCTCCCCTCCACGGAGAAGTGGTACATCTGGCCGGCCGGGTCCGTGAACACGAAGTGCTCCTTGACCTGCGGCCGGTCGGCCGGCTCGGCGTCGGCGTCGGCGTCGGCGTCGGCGCCGGACTGCGCGCGGCGCCGCACGCTGTGCACGGGCGACCATTCGAGCGCCGTCAGCGGCGGGAACTTGCCCGGCAGCGTGCGCAGCGGCGTGAGCGAAGCCAGGTCCCACAGTTCAGTCGGCTGCTCGCCGAACGTCACGATGAAGTACTGCTTCAGATGCGACACGCGCACGGCGGCGATGGGCTGCGTGTCGGCGCGCTCCTGGCGCGGCGCCACCGACTGGCCCGTGCGCAGGTCGGTGAAGAGCAGCTCGTTGCGCAGCGGGCCGGCGGCCGGCCGCGCGAACGACAGCAGAGCCGTGAGGCTGCACCACTCGATGCCGCGCACCGGGCAGCCGTGCACCGCCAGCTCGGCCTCCACGCAGCCGCGCGCCGCGTCCAGGATCAGCAGCGCGCCCGACGCCGTGCCGCACGCCAGCCGCGGCACGAACTCCTGCCGAGACGCCGCGCTCCGGTCACACGCACGCACGCGCGCGCCACGGGACACGGCGTCACGTGACTTGCCGGGCGCGTCGGGTGCCTCTCGACGGAGGGGAGACGCCCCCTAGTGCGTTGTGCTGTACTAAACCGGGAGTTCACCAGGGAGAACAAAACCTGCTCGTCCAAGCACGTTTTTGGAAGATGCAACATGTGTAACATGGAAATATTTTGTGACGTGCAAATATAAAACAATGCAACCTTCAATGTCCCTTGACCGATTAGTTTCACACTTCTCTAGCGCCTTTCAACACCCGACATCAGCTTGCACGCATTATTTACGACACTCTCACAATCCTACTACCGATGTGCTATGCTTTTCGCTCGGCTTCGGACCAGCCAAAGAATGAGGTCTTCCGGACGTCTCCCCGTCTTCAGAGACATGATTCATCAGTTATGCTCTTATGCTCACATGAACATGAGCACACCCTTTGCACAATCTCAGCACTCACTCGCAGCTTCCAGCGGACACCACGCTCACTTTCTCTACCCTCGCTTTTACAAGTCAGACAGGTTATTAGGTTGTCGTCGCATGCAGTTCGCTCCACTATCTCAGAGGTCAGGGTCCAGCGGACTCACGTCCGACCGAGCCGGACGCCGCCCCATATCGCCGGCTGAGCGCCTGCTCCCCCAGTTGTTTTTGGCAGGCCTCTGGCCCTCCAGGCGGTGTGAGGCGGGACGCTACCTCGCCGGAACCGTTGTTGATACTTTGGGTAGTCGTTTTGCTTCCAAGTCCACCCAGGCTTTATTTAGACACCCAATAAACCGGAAACAGTTGATCCCGGGCTCAGTGGGCATAGCTATTGAAAGCAGTCTTTTACGGCATTGCTCGACTGAAGGAACGATTTTATGAACTGATGGATGTGAAAGCAGTGCACAGTATGTGGAAACAGACAGGATTCGATTTTGTTCCGGACACCCGGCGCTAAAATATATTCCATTCACACAAAAAGTAAACAAATGATTATGTCAGCCTGTACGTATCTCGTAAAAATGATAAAACACACCAAATAGCAAAATACGTTCACTGCGCGCGATGGTGAGCAGCCCGACTTCATGAGAAAACCACGGGCCTACAGTTCAGACGCTCGAAAAAACAAACAAAATGGAATGGTACTGAAGAGGGACAAGTTGGACTGTTGTCACAATATCAAAAAAGGCCGTTTGATAGCTTCGACACGCATTCTGGATGCATCACGCAGTCATCAAGACGTCTGGGACCTGAATGGCCCTGCCTAGCCAAACATTCGAGATAGGGGTATGAGCGCAGCCCCCCTGCTTCTCTACCTGCTGTCGCGGCATCCGCTGTAGTCAGTGCCGCGCGCCGGCACGCCTCGCGTCTGGGCCGCCCCGGGACGCCCCGCGTATGGGCCGCCCCGGAACGCCCCGCGTATAGGCCGCGTATGGGCCGCCCCGGGACGCCCCGCGTATGGGCCGCCCGGAACGCCCCGCGTATAGGCCGCCCCGGCACGCCCCGCGTCTGGGCCGCCCCGGGACGCCCCGCGTATGGGCCTCGCCGGAACGCCTCGCGTATGGGCCGCCTCGGGACGCCTGGCGTCTGGGCCGCGCCGGCACGCACCGCGTCTGGGTCACACCGGGACGCCCCGCGTCTGGGCCGCCCCGGAACGCCCCGCGTATAGGCCGCGTATGGGCCGCCCCGGAACGCCCCGCGTCTGGGCCGCTCCGGAACGCCCCGCGTATGGGCCGCGTATGGGCCGCCCCGGAACGCCCCGCGTCTGGGCCGCCCCGGAACGCAACGCGTCTGGGCCGCACCGGGACGCCCCGCGTCTGGGCCGCCCCGGAACGCCCGCGTATAGGCCGCCCCGGAACGCCCCGCGCATAGGCCGCGTATAGGCCGCCCCGGGACGCCCCGCGTGTAGGCCGCCCCGGGACGCCCCGCGTATGGGCCGCGTATGGGCCGCCCCGGAACGCCCCGCGTCTGGGCCGCCCCGGAACGCAACGCGTTTGGGCCGCACCGGGACGCCCCGCGTATAGGCCGCGTATAGGCCGCCCCGGGACGCCCCGTGTGTAGGCCGCCCCGGGACGCCCTGCGTCTGGGCCGCGCCGGGACGCACCGCGTCTGGGCCGCGCCGGCTGCGTCACCCAGCCTCTGGATTGTCGCGCCCGCGCGTCCTGGAAATCCCCCAGCCGCGCCAGAACCGTGCCAAGGACGGAGCTGGGAGCCGCGTATGGAGAAAGCCAACATCCTGGTGCTGAAGTAGCCACGACCCAGCGTACAACCGTGCGCCTCGTGTAGGAATGCGGCGCCGGTGCGATGCCATGACGTCACACCCTGCCAGAGCTTTGGTGATGAGGGGAGGCGGGGATGACAAAGGGTGGTTTCACCTTGATTATGAAAAGGTCCCTATCCAAAACATGAAGATCGCCGGATATGGTCTTTTTGATTTCGAGGGAGCACCATTTTCTTCGTTTTAATTTCAGTTTTAACATTGAACTGCAACAGATGACAGAAATTAACGAAAGATGCAATTTTGTTTGCATATCGAAGTCAATAAACTGAAGGAAGCGGACGTTAAATAACTGCATGGAATAATCCACCGTCGCCATTCATTTTACAATGGTTCAATAGACTACCTAAACCGATAGAACACGGAACCTCTGCCATAATTGTTTAAGGGGTTCTACAGATACAATGAAAGCCCCGTGAACTCAACTTAAGACGAAATTGGGTCCCAAATTCGTGTTAACGTGGCCAACCACGTTCTTCTGAGAATGTACAACCGTCAGTCGCGATCAATTAGTGAGATAAATCGTGTAACATAGTTTTGACATCAGCACTCGCAAGCGTTATAAACGAAAACCCCGATAGCCGGTGTTGCAGTCTTCATTAGGAGCTCGGCGATCCGGCAACCACTGCGCAGCGACTAACGGGCGGACGAAAAAGACATCGCATCTGAAACAAATACCTTTGAAGGCTTTATGACACCAATATATACGTTTGGAAGGCAGCCCATACATATCACTGACAGCACCACGATCTGGTGTCGAAATGTGTTGCTGGGCTGGAAGAGTTAAAATAGAATCTCTATTTTTCGTGGTGCTGTAACTGTTAATTTGTTCAGAGCACAGTCTCGAAATTATAAGGTCATGTAGACGCCCGAGTCTATTTCATGCAAATGCAGGTTGGTCTTTTACTTTTTGACTTTGGCCCTTTCATGTTTTATCTTGTTTGATCCACTCTTTTGCGTACTCATGAGACCCACTTCCTTTTCCGGGTAAGGGGGCCCGTGGAAAGAACACTAAGGGTACAGTACAGTTTCCGGCAATACTCTGAAGGCCCATTCCGTCCCAGTGCGAGGTGCCTATCAGCTGCGATTCTGGTGACACAGGGCGGGCCCCCTGGTTGATCCGGAGGCCCCTGGAGAGACACATACATTGGTCCCTGCCAGGTGCAAGAAGCCCTCTGATCCGGACAGTTGACCCCAGATCGACGAAGAAGCACTCATGGCCACAAGATCCCCCATCGCCGCAAGTGGTCCAATAATGGGCACAGCGACTCCAGTTCGGCTTAACGAACCCCTGACTGAAATGGGACGGAGGGCCCCGCTCTTTGCTGGAGGCTATGACTGGTACGGGGCCTTCCATTACCTCATTGTGGAATTCCATCGTAAGGTCCCATGTCTTCCCTCATTGTCAAAGGGCCCCGGCCAACGCACGAGGTTGCCTGACATCCGAGGTGCCGTCCCTGCCCCTATTCAAAGAATGCTCCCCGGCCGACCCCTTGCGTGCACAGGAGCCCCTTTTCTGTACTGTGGGGCCCTGACCGTCGCAGAGGCCCACTATTGTTACAGGGGCCCCGACCAATCCAAATTGCGGGTCCCGGCCTCGCCTAGGGGAATGGCCCCCATGGCCCAGATCGACACGGAGCCGAATGTTTGGTGTTCGTGGTCACTGGCCAAAATGGGGCCATCATTGTCCGAGAAGTCCTTAATGGTTGAGAGGCATCGCGACTGATATTAGCAGCCACGGCCCTATGGGCGGAGGTCTTTAATGTAACGCACAGCTAGCCCTTCGAGATCGTGATCTTCGGTCCCTAGGGGCCCTTCAGGCTCAACTCGGTCCCTAGCTCACTCGGGGCCACTTGCCGATACAGGACCCCTGTTAGGCACTGTATGTTCCTGACACCACACCCCTCATGGTTTCAGAGACCTCGACCAATCCTGACCAACACAAATCACGGGCCCCGACGTTGTTGGGAAATGGGCCCCCAAGGGTTGAGAGCGACAAGAGACCGACTTTTCATATTTTTTTATCGGCATGGAGAGAAGGCGCTATCAGAGTCAAAATCACTCCGACAAAGAAGTGGACGTTTGACTCGGCAGATCTTGCGTTGGCGAGTGCGTTAGGTGCGGAGGGGGCACTTGCCCCTAATTTTGCGAGAAATGCAACGTAAGATAGAGAAGAGGGAATCCAACTGCCCAGACTAGCCACGGAAAGGTGGGTAACAGTGATTGGTGTGGTGTGTGGTTGCGCCACCCAGTTAACTAATAGCGTTATAAGTAAACACTTCCACACACCACTTTATAGGTAGCGTGCCACGGTCGGCGGTAAGCCAGGGTTAGTGTGCGGTCTGAAGTGAAATGTGAAGGAACGAGGTAAAGTTCAGAAACAACTTTCCCGTCAGCCCGCACATCGGACGCTCCGTCAGCACGCATGACGCCACGCATCCCACCTGACAAACATGCTGACAACGGATTGCACGCGGCCTGCGCGTCCGCCCCCCAAGTGAACAGCTCCACATCTCCGCCGCCAGTTGGCCGCCGCCCGGCTCGGCGCGGGTTGGACACTGCGTGACGTCACAGACGCCAGCTGAGCGCGCCCTCTTCCAAGGACATACGCGGCCGGCCCGGCGAGTCT